GGACCAGGGTTTATCTGACACCTTTGCATAAAGGGGTCATGGGCACAGGCACCACACCTGGCTGAGTCTGCCAACCACAGGGGCTGAGGCATGCTTGGGCGGAAAGTGCATGGCTGGAAGGACTAGGCGGAGAGAGCTCGGTAGCCAGGTAGCCTTGGGAGCTGGTCTTGTCCATCTCGTCTCTTGGAAGTCTTCAGCTTCTGGGTTTGGGGAGAAGGTTGGGGAGCCTGGTGTCAGCGGGCTGTCATTGCTGCCTTGGGCCATGGCATGGCACAGCACAGCTAAGCTTAGTTTAGCTGAGAGCCCCGCAGAATCTGGGCTCAGTCACTCTTTGGCTGCACATTTCTGTCCCCTCTGTGCCTCCCTCCCCAGGAGGTGGTGGTCAAGGTGTACTTGTGAGCTTTGCCCATCCAGCATATTGGCCTCACTGAGCTTTCCTAGTTTTGGGCAGGCCGCTCACTGGGACAGTCAGAGCACTGGAGGAAGGCTTAGACTGTCTCTAGGGGGTTGAGGGCCAGAGATGGAGCCCCACAGTGGCCTCTGGAGAATGGCCTGATTTCCTCCCAGTTTTCCTGCAGCACAGGGGTCACTGTGAGGAAAGCTCTGGTTTTGCCACTTAATAGCTTTGTGACTTTGCCCAAGTCATACAATCTCTCTGATTGGGTCAGGTTTCTCATGGGTCCAGTGGAAATAGTAAGTAATCTGTGAGGCTCTCACTGGGCTACTAGGGGCACAAATACAATTGCTGTAGGCAGCAGTGGCTTGTAGCCCTGAAGGCAATAGATGAAATTAATGGTGTCATGGAGAAAACCAGGCAGGCATCTGTTGGTATCCGTGAGGTACACAGTGGGAGTTACATAGCTCAAGACCCAGTCCAGTTAGGGAGTGACAGGGCTGAGCAACATGACCAAGTTGTAATGAACTGCTCATTTCACATCACATCTTGATTCATTGGTGGTTTAGTGCTGAAATCAATTGGTGATTGATGTGTGATTTAGTGCTGAAATTGATTTTAGGGGATTGTGACCAGTATTAAAAGAAAAAGAAGTAGGAAGTAGGATGGAGTAATACAAAAATTGAACTGAAAATATCAGGTGCTTTAGTACATGTAGGAGTAAATTATTTTCATAAAATGTATTTTGGTTACGTGTGTATGTGTATAGTCTCAGTACAAAATGTATTTCTTACTGTGAGTTTCAGTTTAAAAACTTGGAGAGATGGTGTTGTAAGTAGTTGAGATAAAGGTCTTCAGGTTGGAAGACAGCTAACAAGATCTGGGCAGGCACAGCCGCTGTGTGGAGGCTCAAGGCGTGACTTTGGGGTTCAGAGCATGCACTGTGGACTGAGGCAAGCCTAGGTTTGAATGCAGCTGCATGGCCTTGGGGGCTTCCCTGGTGGCTCAGAGGTGAAGAGCCTGCCTGCCAAGCAGAAGGTTCAATCCCTGGGTCAGGAAGATCCCCTGAAGAAGGAATGGCAACCCACTCCAGTATCCTTGCCTGGGAAACCCCATGGACAGCGGAGCTCAGCGGGCTGCAGTCATGGGGTCACGAAAGAGTCAGACACGACTGAGACTAAACAGCAGCAGCATGGCCCCGAGAAGCCCCTTACCTTTCCTAAGTCTAGGGCTCTGCTTCTGGAAAGTGGCGATAACATTGTGGTGGGTTATTGTGAAAGGTATATGAAAATAATATATGTATATATATATATGTATTTTATGTAATATATATGTATTTTGAAAGATGTTGGTAAGTAGTAAATAATGTTAAAATGGTAACTACTTATTGGTAACAATAAGTACCATTGTTAATGGTAACAATGTTATTGTTGAAGTTGTCAGTTTTATTATGTTGGGCCCCTAAAGTGTTGCTGTGACTTGGAGAGGGGAGAAGAAAAGGCATTCCAGGTAGGGGTGGGTAAGTGACGAGGGATGATTACGTTTGCCTAGTATGAGGCTGATCTGGCTGAGAATTGTGCAGCCTTAGAACGGGGGTTTGCAATAGACAGAAGGTACCAGAAAACTTAACAGTATGGCTTCAGCAATGAGGGTGGCTTCACCTGGAGATGATGAAGGCCCAGGCCTGAGGAGTTCCACTAGAGACCGTCCTCATTAGACTCTTTTGGTTGCGGAGACTCCTTCAGGCCACCTTAAGGACAGAGGAGTTTTCTGCAAGAGTGAGTGAAACTCTCAGACCGGAAGCATCCCCATGGGCCATTTGGCCTCTTAAGTTGGTCATTTGGTCAGCCTCCCTGTCACTGGAAACTGGCACACACTCTCCCCCCACTGTTAGGAGGAAGCCACCTCAGGGCCTCCACACCGTCATGTCATTTGCAGAGATGCCCAGACCCCAGTCCACGTCACGGCTCCTTTCTGGACATCTTTGGAGGGTCAGTTCACAAGGGAGGCCACCCAGTTGTATAGCAGACAGGCTCAGAGAGGGCAAGGGGCTATTGCAGAAGGAATTTCTGTATCAGACAGCAGTCTGCTCAGATGCCCTCTGAGATCCTGACCCACCAGACTGGAGAGTTTGTGAACCTTCTGATTTTTAAAGAAAATGGGTAGCGTCCAGCCATTCAGGAGCACATTCTGTATGTGACAAGAAGCTCACCTGTAGTTAGAATGTCAAGTGCTGAGTGCCAGGCACAGCAGGTGGTTAAACTCCTTTGCTGTTGGAGGAGAGGCCACTCAAATGACCATCTTTCCTCCAAAATTTCCCAATTTAAGGTTTTGAAAATAAAAATAGATCTTTCAATGGACATGTACATTTAAAGTAGTAGTGGATTTTTTGTTTGTTTCTGAGACGACCTTACCAAATCAGTGGTGTAGTTTAAAATCAGTAGTGCCTTAGAATCCAGGAAATATGGTCGTTTGTTTTGTACCCGTTTGAAATTCCGGTTTGAGGTTTGATGCTGGGTCTTTGAAACTGCAAAAGCTGTTATCTGGCATCATTTAAAAGAACACTGAGCTTGAATGTGTTCCCCTGTGTATTTGTAGTTGGGAGACTGGGTATCTCTGAGGCCCTGCTGTCAGATCTTATCAGCAGAGACAGACTAGAGGGTCAGGGTGTCACATGGATATATATTTAATCAGAGGGGAATTCTCTGGAAACTGGTAATCTCAGGCAAAAGCCTTGCCCTCTTATGAGGCTCCATTTTCTCTTCTGCTCAATGGGATGATTGGATCAGATGTTATCCACATCCATAGCTGCCAGAACTTCCTGTTGACTCCGTGTGGCTACCTCCTTTAGTTTTAGATAACTAGAAGGCTCATCCCCTGACTTGTGTGACTGAGTGCTTTGTAGTGATGGGAGGTGACCTGGCCTGTGATGCTGGGCCTTTGGTTTGGGCTCCCTGGGTGTTTGGGGGCTGCCTGGAGATATGCATACATTTGTTTGTAAATTACCTGATCTATAAGGTGTAGTCTCTGCTTTTCTCCTGAGGGGAGGGATAGGAAGGAGCCAGTCCTTGTGCCATGGTTCTGCTTCCAGGTGGTGAGAGGGTGGGTCGGTGGCCTGTGTGGAGGGGCCGTCATCTCTCCTCGGCCAATCAGCTCCAGGGCTGCTCTCAGGCCCCTGCAGTTCTCCAGATAAAAAACCGAAGAAGAGGACCTGCCTGTTTGTGTCTGGGAGCTCTGTTCTGCCAGGGCCCCTCCCACTGCTCGTCCAACCAGTAAAAGTTCTAGCAGTGCATTTCCTTCCTGTAGAAAGAGAATCAGAGACTCAAGGCCTGGGCCAAACTCTGGCCCCTGTCCTGTTCCTGAGAGCCTCCACCCCGCGCTGCGTTCTGGGAGGTCAGGCAGTGCTGAGTGCAGGCCCTTGGCTACGATCTGACTTGGATTTGAGTCTAGGTTTTTCCACTGATTTGCAGTTTGACTCTAAGCAATATACCCTTCCTGGATATCTTACCTCTCAATAATGCCAGTACTTTTTTCATTGGAAAAAAGGGGCGGCGGGGGGGAAAAAGGCACAAGAAAGAAATTTAAAAGATCCATAATCTACTACTTTAAAAATAATTCTGAGAGTGTGTATGTGTGTGTAGAGAAGGACACATACACGGTATTTTCATTGTTTTCTTACCAGTATTGCTCTGTAGGCTGAATACAAGGAAGGACATGTAGAGCACGCAGTCTTCAAATGCTAGTCATCTTCTCTTTGCCCCATGGTTATGGGAACTTCCAGGGACTCCCTCCTTGGAAGGAGCTCAACCTCTAAGCCAGGGGTGTCGCCCAGCCTGCCGCAGCTGCTTCAGGGCTGCCCAGGGTGGGTCTCCAAGCTGAGATGTTTCCCCACCAGCTCTCATGGGCGTTCAAAGCCTGTGGAATGTCAGTGACGTGAGGGCTGGGACTTGCTCTAGTCACAGGACTGTTCCCCACAGTCTACCCAGACGCCCTAGCCCTAGAGCTCTGCCTGCATAGCTGTGACAGCTGCTCCGTAAGTAAGTGTGCAAATCTGAGTGGTGTCTGATGGGGCTTTGAAGTATATTCTGAATTTGGATAGGCAGAGACAACTTGGAGTGTGTTCCTGCAAAGGGACTGGCATGAGCAAAGGCTGAGCGGGGAACAGGGCCAGGGTGTAATTGGGGAAACCATGAGTAACTAGTTTTGTTAGAGTGCAGAGGTGAGCATGTTATCCCTGTACTTGTTTGACTAGTTTTTCGTCCAGCTCCTTACCGTGTATGCTGGTTCTCTGGAGAGGCTTGTTTATCGGCACAGATCCAGGGTGCGAATGCTGTGCTTTGGTGCACAGGTGCAGGCACTGGGGCCCCTGGCCCCTTGACACACGGGGGAGTGAGTGCTTGAACCTAGTGTCTGTCCAGCCTGTGCGTTCTGGGGAGGGCGTTGTGTTCCCTCGGGTCTGTGTTAGAAGGTTCGCTAGTTAGCCCCGAAGGGAACAGCGGGATGAGGGGCAGGGGGAGGGACGGGGACTGACCAGGCTGGTACCTGTGGCCTCAGCCAGGGCCTTTGCTCTCTCGGCACCTGACGGGCCCTGCCCTCTGCTCCACAGGCTGGAGGAAGTCCCCCTGGAGGTGCTGAGGCAGAGGGAGTCCAAGTGGCTGGACATGCTCAACAACTGGGACAAGTGGATGGCCAAGAAGCACAAAAAGGTGAGGGGCCTGGCCTTAGGCCTAGGGCTGGGAGTTGCAGTGGGGGAGGCATGGGGCTGAAGAGGCAGGGGCTGCATCAGCACGGAGGAGCAGTTGGGTCTCCAGTCACCCGCTGTCCCCCCACCGGCTTGGAAATGGGGACAGAAGCTGGTCTTCCCAGATAACAGCAGACTCATGCAGACTTCTTTCCTCGAGTCACACCTCAAAGCTGCTCTCAGCTGAAGGCCCTTCAGGCAGCTTTCCTCCAGTGCTCCTGGGCAAGTCTTTACTACTGCCTACCACCTAGGGGAGGACTTGATATACTAATAGTGGCTAATGTATGTTGACGCAGCGTGCTGGGCACTTAGCTGGGTCATCCTTACAGCACCCCAGTGAGGTTGGTGGTGGTGATATCAGGTATGACTGATGGCAGAGTCAAAGTTTGAACCCAGGAGTCTAACTTTAGTGCCTGCACGCTTTGCACCACAATAAGGGGCCTTCTTTACCCTCTAGATTAATTCTATGAGTTCCCTCTTGTCCCCTAGCCAAAGCAAAAAGAAGGAAAAGTGACTTCACAGTTTAATGGTCTCATAAAAATGAAAATACCAGTGGTTCTTTTCTGGTGGGCTGTATTTAGGCGCCGGCTCTGCCACACTGTAGGCGCATCCTTGTCCACCACACGTGTGTTGATCCTCTTGTTCACCTTAGCAGGGTCTGCTTACTCCCTGGCTGAGCGGAGGCCTGTCTGCCGTCCCACAGCCGGGTCTCTCTGCACAAGTCCCCAGTGCACAGTGACCCCTCTGGCCTGCATCGTCAGCTGACATGCTGGTCTGGGCCAGGCTGGCACAGCCGCTGCAGGGCCTAGCAGAAACCCAGGGCTAAAGGTCACATTTGGGCTTGGGTTCAGCCACACAGCCCCCACTCTCCATGCCCATGGCTAGCGGAGTGACTTTGGGCGATCACCTCACTCCCCCAGCCTCAGTTTCCCTGCTCAAATGGGAATGAGCATCCTGTTGCAAGGCTCCTCCTGTAAAGCCCTGTGCCCATGGGAGGAGAGGTGCACCCAGACCGGGGCTCTTTCTTACCATTCTGTGTGGACTTTGGGGCTTTCATTTTTTGCTTATTAGAAAAAATTTCACTTAAAAAAATACTTTTTTAAGGCAGTTGTTACCCAGCTGCTTCCTGCCTGACTCTGGGGTCTGTTTTCCTGCTTCCTCAGCCCTCAGGCCTTTACCCTGAGCTTTGGCTCCTCTCACCGCCTGCGGAGGTGACTGGTGGCCGGCAGGGAGATGGCTGTGGCATTCTTACCCCCGCCTCTTTGCAGATGGGGATTCCAGAGGGGAGCCGTGGGGAGCTCCACTCCACAGAGCAGCCAGCATCACTTCCTCTTCCTCTTTGCTTCCCTGGCACTGCGGTTAGAGACCAGGGCTACCCGCCCAGCCGGGGCCACCAGAGGAGGCTGCACTCCACCCTCCCCGGGGACCCTAGTGTACTGCTTGTCTCCTGCCGCTCTGGCCCCAGAGCTCTTACTGCCTTGCCACGCCAGCTGGGTCGGGAGGTGGTGGCACCGGAAGGACGACACCTGCACCAGAAGTGGATCAGACCCGCCACACTGATGCTGAGTCCCTGGGACCCGGTCAGGCCCCGCAGAGAGACAGGGCGCTGGTTGGAATGCTGTCTTTCCCTGTCGGGCTCTGCTTAAAGTTTGCCCTGCCCTCCTTGAGCTCAGCAGCTGGGTGTGGCTTTTCTCAGTTGTCATCAGAACTCTCCTTTCCCAAGGCCTTACCTCAGATAATGGCAATTCCTGTGCTTTCTCTTTGCTGAGCACTCTCTGGCTTTAACCCTTGCTCTTCCCCACCTCTGCCTCTCCCTAAGAGGTTATCATCTCCAGCACCCTGAGCTGAGGAGGATGCCAGAGGTCAGAGGGGGAAGGTTAGTTGCTCAGTCACGTCTGACTCTTTGCGACCCCATGGACTGTATCCCGCCAGGCTCCTCTCTCCATGGGATTTCCCAGGCAAGAATACTGGAGTGGTTGCCATTTCCTCCTCCTCCTTCCTGACCTAGGGATCGAACCCGAATCTCCTGTATTACAGGCAGATTCTTTACCACTGAGCCACCAAGGAAGCTGGTTGTATTCCCAGCTCTCCATCCCCACGTCCCCCACCTCCGGCCTGGGTGAGGCCGGGCCGCTCTGTGAGCTTAGTGGACTGAAGGTATTCCTGGACTCTCCTCGGTCCTGAGCAGGCTGAGGGTGGTGGGGCTGCAATGATATGTGGGGGCCGACTCAGCTGAGCTTGGCCCTGGGGAGCCTGAAGGGCCTGTAGTTCCAGGTCATGTGCACCCCTTCGCCAAAGCCCACCCAGACCATGCGGCTTCCTTCAGGAGACCCCGGTCCCACAGCAGCGGGAAACTGTCCGTAGAGTCAGGCGGGTCCCTTCTGCTCCCTTCCTCTCCCCGCTTTGCAGGCAGTCCCAGAAGTGCAACTTGGCTCCTCTGACCAGCCATTCTGCTCTTCCCGCACTGCCCTCAGCCTGCCTGCCTGTCTCCTTCCTGGTTCTTGACTCCCTCTGACCCTTGGAAAGTTTTCTCTTGTTTGCGCTGGTCATCAGGAAGCCCGGGCCTCCTGTGCTCCCTTCTCAGAGAGCCTCCAAGGGGACTGTCTGAGGGGGTTTCCAGATGAGGGGACTTAGGAGTGAGCCCGGGGCCCAGGGCCTCTGAGTCACTTGTCCTCCTGGGATTGGAGGGGCAGAGAGGAAGCCATCATTTGTTAACACAGACCCCCTGCACCACTTCTGATAGAATCCTGGTTGTTACCAGTTTGATCTTACAGTTGATGAGAGGTGATGGGCTGAGGTCAGCGCTGGATTCAAACCCATCACCCAGGCACCGTCCACTTCCCACTGCCCTGAGCCCCATCTCCACCCCAGGCCAGGCTGCTTAGTACAGCGGCCCAGGGCAATGTCACTGGACAGTCCCCCACCCTCTTTCCAGAGGAATGGTGCCTCTGCCTTTGCCCTCAATCTCCTTGACCTTTGGCCTGAGGTCAAGGAGGATGATCAGGGCACCTGCCTTCGAGCCTCACTCTCCCCTCAAGCCCAGAGGAAGCTCATCGCCCCATGGGACTTGGAGAGGCCTGAGAAGTGAGCAGCCAGGGCTCAGTCCTCCAGCCTGTGCAGTGTGGCTGGGAGTTGGCATGGTCCCTGATGGAATGACCTTAATAATATCCCCACTCTGTGCCTCAGTTTCTCCATCTGTGAAACACATGATGCTTTCTCAAGCCGGGTTTTGGCAGTGGAAGACTTTTTTCTGTTGAAGAGTACAAGTGTATGCATTGAGCACTAGCTCTGGGTCGTGAGCTCCCCAGGCACTTCCTCCCTCCCCTCTCCCAGCCCGTGATGGGGAAGGCCGGCGCCAGTTTAGCCTGGGATCAGGACTCACACCCAGACCAGCTGCCTCCACCCCGGTCTGGAAATCATGAGAGCTCAGGGTCAAGGAGAGCAGAAGAGGGGGGATTCTTGACCAAAGGGGAAGCCATTCTGACCAGCTCTTCTTCCTGAATTCTGCTGAGATCTTTCCTCTCTAGGCTGGATGTATCCTGCCACACGGCTGCTTAAACACTCCCATGAAAGCACCCAGGACACGTCTCTGGGCACATTCTGAGTCATCTTGTGAGCTGCTTTCCCTGCAGCTGAGCCATGTTCCACATCATGCAGATCCCTTCCTGGTGACATCCCAGGGGCTCCTCTAACTTGTCTGGTTCCATTTGGATTCAGAAAATGCAGATGGGGATTCCTAGTCCCGTGTGGATGTCAAGAATCCCTGTGTTGTCACTGGACCAGGGAACATGGGGCCGCTGCCATCACCTGGTGGCAGCCGACTCAGTGCAGCGTTGGAGCAACAGGGGTGAAGTCCTCTTTTCCCCCTGTTCCACTCTTGCCCCCGTGCTCACTGAAGGCCTGACGAGCACCAGCCTCTTGGGGGCTGGGGAGGGGGCAGCGGGCAGCCTGGCTGGATGCACAGGCACAGCCTCCCTTTGACTTCCAGATCCGACTGCGGTGCCAGAAGGGCATCCCACCTTCTCTGCGGGGCCGTGCTTGGCAGTACCTGTCAGGAGGCAAGGTGAAGCTGCAGCAGAACCCTGGAAAGTTCGATGTGAGTTGCCCTTCCCTCCCCTGCCCTCCCTTCCTCGTCTCTGGACATCTTCTGGGGGCGGTGATCCTCTGTGCTCAGGGGACCTCTCCCCTCCAGAGCCAACTGTCAGGCCTGGTCAGTCTGTGACTCCGGGGGCTCCACTCATCTGAGGCGCCAGCTCTGAGCGGGCCTCAGTGGGGTGGACAGATTGGCAGCCCCCAGTTCCAGCTGTTTCTCTTGACAGCCACCAGGTTTGCTCTCTTGGACTTGGTGGGCTACCTCTCAGCTCTTGGTTATTGGGAGGGACACTCAGAGCACTTCCCTGACCATGTGGGGCCTGAGCTCTGGGCCTTTGGGGGCTTCCCAGCAGGGTCACAGGACCCTAACACCTTTTGACTTCCCAGTCTCTACTCTTTCTCCTGCCTCATCCAAGCCAGCTAGACATGGTTCACCCATGTTGCTTATGGGCTTGTCTGTTCCGGGGGTGGCAGAGCCAAACCAGTGTCCTTAGAGTTTAGAAGCCAGTCCGGGGTGAGACGGGGTACCCTCTGACAGCCATGCCTTCCCCTCCCGCTGCTCCCCACCCCAGATTGCCAAGGTGAAGAACACCCCTCCGTTCATGAGGCTTCTTGGGGCCCCCCTGACCCGGGCTGCTCCTCCAGCCTGCTCCTCTAGGGAACTCGGGGAGTCAGTTGGCTTTCCCAGGGTTGCCCCAGCTCATCTGCCAGGCTTGGCCCCAGGCCTCAGGGTATCTCCCAGGCTCTTGGGACTGATGATAGGCAGTGAGAGGGCTGTCAGTCAGCAGCTCCCTGTTGACAAAATTCATGCTTCAGTGAACAGCCCTCTCCCGCCAAACCTGTTCCTGGAGTTGCTGCTGCAGACCGGGAGGCGGGGAGAGTGGCCCAGGGACGGGGGTTGGTGGAGTGTCTGGCTGAGGGCAAGCCAGAATCAGGGATCGGGCTGTCCCACAGAGCACCGACATCATGCCCACTCAGGCAGCCTCTTGGCTCCAGTCTTCCTCCCTGTGGCTACATCACTTCCATGTCAGGGGGCTGCCTTCTGGCAGAGTGGGAGGCTCAGGGGTGGGGTGGGAGAGTCACCAAGGCCCTAGGTTACCTTTGGCTGCCAGAGCACAGCCTGAGAACCGAGGGAGCTCGGGGGCTGGTCAGCCTCCTGGTTCCACACTTAGCAGACATGAGCACATCTGAGGAGCCACGGAGTGCGGAGCTGTCTGTGCTGTGTGGGTCTGGGGAGTGGTGCGTCCCAAGAGGGTTGGCCACCTCTGTGGGGTCTGAAGGTTGCTTGTGAGAGGAGGTAGACTGGCCCAGAAAGCCCTTTATGATGTTTTGAAGCTTAGTGGCGGGGCCCCGGCGCAGTCCTGGGGGCCAGAACAGTGGTTTGTGAGCACAGCAGGAGGGACTCTGCGTTTCTGTTGGGTGGAGGAAGTGGACGGGGAGAGATGCTGCCTCCGGCTGCCGGGGCACAAGAGCCCAGAGGCAGGGGTGCCGTGGGGGGCTGTGGTGCAGCGATCCTGCCCCCAGAGGCCCTTGTGGACCCCAGCCTCCACTATCAGCGCAGGCTCCACATCCTGGCAGCGTCTCCTCCTCTGCGCTGGCCACTTCTTCCTCCTTCCTCAGGCAGGACAGGACCTTCCAGTCTCTCTTCCCTGGTTTTCTTCTCCGGCAGGCTCCATGGGGGGGCTGCGGTAGCTGCATTGCCCCCAGCGGCCCCTACCTGCCTTGGACTCTCGGCACCCTTTCTCCCTGCAGGCCCTTCAGCTGCACCTTTCTCTTTCTGAGGGGTGGTGACCCTGTGTGGCTGAGAGCCGTGAGCTGCTGAGGAACCCAGCGAGCATGTTCTAGGAGCCTTGGGTTCCCAGGTCTGCACCTCAGTGGAACCTTCAGGAGAACTTGTGGGACCCTCCTTTCCTTCCTGACAAAAGCAGACCTGCACTGTACTCAAGACCGTGTCTAGGATCAGGACAGCATCCTGACCTGCAGGGTGCCTCGGACACTAGCGGCCCCCATTGAGGGGGGTTGCACACGCACAGGTTGTGAGTGTGCGTCTTTAGCTGGGCAGCTGCTCCAGGGCCTGCTGTCCAGACCCCGGGCCCCTCCTCACCCTCCAGCCTCCAACACTCCATCAGCTTTTTGTCTCAGTGTTCACCCTCTTGTGTCAAGTTAGCTGACACCCTAGGGTCCTCATTTCAATCCTGGGACACCCCCACTGAGGGGGCACAGAGGGAAAGGGACTTGTATGAAGTCACCTGCCGGGCAGGGGCCTGCGCCTGCACCCACTGATGTGTTTGCTGAGGACCCAGCCTTCCTCCTGTGGCCCTCCTTGCACTGCCCAACACGTAGACAACGAGGGCTCTGCCTGCTTCCCCTCTCAGCCCTCCAGGCATCCTTTCCACTGAGTTGTTTCTTTCTTTTTTGAAAGCTGAGGTATGAATTTACATAAAGTAAAAGTGCACAGATCTTAAGCACACAGTTCAGAGAGTCTGGACAAATAATACATACCCCTGTAACCAACAAGCAAGTAAGATAGAGGACATTTCAAGTGATCGAGAAAGGATCTTTCTTTGTGTAGTAGCTTTGTTTACATAAATGGAACTCATGCGAAAATGTTCACGGAAGTTCAAAGAAAAGAGTAAAAATTTGCTGAAACTCCAGCACCCAGAGATGGCTCTGAGGCTGACGGTTTGACAGACATCATGACATTGCTCAGTGCAGCGCACACACACGCCCGCTTCCTGAACAGGTGGCACCGCTTTACATGGAGGTGGGTGGCACAGGAGTTGGGTTGACAGCCCTGAGTCAGCCTGGCTTCCAGACCCGGCTGCACCATTTTTCTAGCCACAGGGCATCAGGCAAGTGGCTTGTCTTTGACCCTCAGTTCCTCACCTGTGAACAGTGTAATGATAGGACCTGTCTTTGGGGGGCTGAGGCGAACAGTCGGCGAGGCCCACATGTGCCATCTGAAGTGGTGCTCAGGGTGGTGCTCCCAGGTAGGAATCATTGCTTCCAAGTTGCCTTCCATCTTCAGGGGGTAACAAGGTGTTTGAATCCTGAATGAAGTGCCTGGAGATTATCTCAAGCCACAGCTCTGTCAGGCACTCTTACCCACATGGGTCTTCCTCCTGAAGCCTAGGTCGCCCCTCAGGGTTTCCCGGACCCCGCTCATCTCTGCCCCGCCCAAGCTTCCTGACTTGTCCTCGGGGAGGCCCAGTCAGGATGGGATTGGGTGGACATTGTCCCTGTTGATGGGCATCCTCCACAGCCTGGGACAGTGATATCCTCCCAGCCATCCCTAACTCCTAAGAGACGCTCTTGACCTTGCTTCCAGGAGCTGGACATGTCCCCTGGGGACCCCAAGTGGCTGGATGTGATTGAGCGTGACCTGCACCGACAGTTCCCTTTCCACGAGATGTTTGTGTCCCGGGGGGGCCACGGGTGAGCAGGCTGGGCCTTGTGGGCTGTCCCTTTCCCTCAGAGAGAGGAGGTAAAATCAATTTGGGGGCACGTAGGGGGTCCCGGAAGCTGGAGGGTCCTGACTACTCTGTTAGTTCCCTCTTTGGTTTGAGTCTGATGGGTCCTCTTTGTTCTGAGGCAGCTTCATCCTGTACTTCCCAGAGTGCTAGGCTTGCCTGGCCTGGCCTTCCTCTGGAAACAGGAAGATGCACAGATTGAGTGGGGAGAAAGAAGGCTGGAGAGAGCTGGGTGGGTACAAGGTATGCAGGAGAGGAGAGACGTGGCGGCCAGGCCGGGACCGAGACAGTCCTGGGACGGGGCTGGCCTGGCCGAGGGGCCACAGCTGCCAAGCCGGGGGCCACACTCCCTGCCCCGGCCCTGCCCCCCACTTTCTTTTTGAGCCTCTGCCCTCACCTGTCAAAGGAGGGTGCAGGGGCTGCAGTGGGAGACTGACCCCTCGTGACCACACTCTGCAGGGAAATGCAGCCTCTGAGTCAGGTCTGGCTCAGTGGGGCGCAGGTGAGGCCTGTGGGTGGCGAGTCCCACCCATCAGCCCTTCCCCGCTCGCCTCTCCGCAGCCAGCAGGACCTTTTCCGGGTGCTGAAGGCCTACACGCTGTACCGACCCGAGGAGGGCTACTGCCAGGCCCAGGCGCCCATCGCTGCCGTGCTGCTCATGCACATGCCTGCCGAGGTACCCCCAGGCCGCGGGCGGGTGGGCGGGCGGGCAAGGGACACCCAGCAGCCAGGCATGACGGCTCTCTTGCCCACAGCAAGCCTTCTGGTGCCTGGTGCAGATCTGTGAGAAGTACCTGCCTGGCTACTACAGTGAGAAGCTGGTGAGTGCTTGCAGCGTGGCCCTGGCCTGAGACCCGCCCCCAGACCTGACACCTTTGTGGCCTCTCCAGGCCTTAACTCAGCCATCCCATTGCCTGTGGAAGTCCTGCTCGGCCTCCTGTTGCCTGAGGCTGGAGTCCCCAGGCTGCCAGGGTCAGGGCTCCTGGGCTCCGGCCTCCCACTTCCACCCTCTCTCCACCTATGCCTCCCTGTTCCTCCAGGGCACCACAGTCCTCCTGCCTTGGCCGTCACATAGGCTTAATCCTCCGCCCCTTCTTTCCTCTGATAACCTTTCTTTCCCCTCAGCTTTCAGCCCATCGGAGCATTCCCTGACTTGATAGGGGGGCCTCCGGCACACGCCCCCCAGGGTCTTGTTCCTGCCCTGCCCTGGGCACCTTAGCCCCCTCCCTCCCTCCACTCCCTCGGCTCCCAATGCTCCTGTGGTTTGTGTCTGTCTGTCTCTCTGCACAGCACGCTCGGTGGGGAGAGCAGCTGTGTCTGGTCTGCCTGTCATCATCCCCAGCACCCAGCGGGAGCTTGGCACCCTGCGGCCTGAGCAGCCTGAGGAGCCAGGGGTGGCTGCCGCGGCCCTCGGTCACGGCCCAGTGGTTCCCTGTCCCCCCAGGAGGCCATCCAGCTGGACGGGGAGATCCTCTTCTCGCTGCTGCAGAAGGTGTCTCCCGTGGCCCACAAGCACCTCAGCCAGCAGAAGATCGACCCGCTGCTCTACATGACCGAGTGGTTCATGTGCGCCTTCTCGCGCACCTTGCCCTGGAGCTCCGTGCTGCGCGTCTGGGACATGTTCTTCTGCGAAGGTACCGGGCTTGCCCGGGGCAGCAGCCCTGCCCCCAGTCCAGCTCACGGGGGCCTCTGTTTGCAGAGAGACTCCCCAGAGCAGCCCCCACTGCCGGCACTCACCGCCTGCTCCCCGACAGGAGTCAAGATCATCTTCCGGGTGGGCCTGGTGCTGCTGAAGCACGCGCTGGGCTCCCCGGAGAAGGTCAAAAGCTGCCAAGGCCAGTACGAGACCATCGAGCGACTGAGGAGCCTCAGCCCTAAGGTCATGCAGGAGGCCTTCCTGGTGCAGGAGGTATGGCCACCCGTGCCCCTCACCCCGGAGATGGGGGGACTGACGGTCACCCTTGCCCCTCACCCCCGGAGGGAGGGCGAGCCTGAGGGCCCTGGTGGGGGCCCGCGGCCTTATGCTCAGCAGCCCAGGACAGTGTGGACAGACCTCGTCCTTCTGTCTGAACGAGGAGAGGGGGCACAGAGAGGCCCAGATCCACCTAGAGGGAATGAGAGTAGGTGCGGCCCACCCCCCGTCACAGCCTTGGTTTATTTTCCTGTTTTTCTCTTTTGTGGATCTTTGTCTCTGGGGCTGTCGTGAGGTGATACACAGGTAGGCGGGAGGACTCATGGCTTTCTCCTCTGAGGCCGGGGCCTCAAGGGCCTCCTCACCTGGCACTCACTCTGGGGCTTGTGACCACCATCCTGTGGTCAGCCCGCTTGGCCCGGGCCGGGCTCTTCCTGACCGCCCCCCGCCTGTCGCCGCCCCACAGGTGGTGGAGCTGCCAGTGACGGAGCGCCAGATCGAGCGCGAGCATCTCATTCAGCTGCGGCGCTGGCGGGAGACGCGGGGGGAGCTGCAGTGCCCGTCCCCGCCCAGGCTGCACGGCGCCAAGGCCATCCTGGAGGCAGAGCCGGGCCCGCGGCCCAGCCTGCAGCCCTCACCGTCCATCCGCCTGCCCCCGGACGCCCCCTTCTCTGGCTCCAAAGGCAAGCCCAAGACATCCAAGCAGGTGCAGAAGGAGCCGCGGAAGCCAGGGAAGGAGAGTGGGCAGCAGGACCGGCCCCCTGCCCCAAGTCAAGCCAAGGTGGCGGCCGCCGCGGGAGATGCATCTCCACAGGATGTGCCCCCAAAGGACCCAGCCCCCCAGGACCCCCGGGGCCCGGCTCCCCAGGACTCAGCCCACCACCGCTCCCGGGAGAGCCTGACATCCCAGGAGAGTGAGGACACCTACTTGTAACCCTGGCAGCTCAGGCCCCTGGGCTGGGGTCTCCACACACCACACGGTTCACCGACTGACTGACACTCCAGGGCCCGTCCGCCCTCCGAGGGCCCGCTGCCTGGCCCCGGGTGGCAGGGAGTCTGGCTGGCCCAGCACAGATTCTGCCTGACTCTCCTTATTTATTTTCTCCAGAGCGGAGCTTGGCCGGCGCAGCTGGGGCAGGCAGAAGTGTGAGCCAACGGGTGGGGCCTCACTCAGCCCCTCCTGGGGGGATGCTCCCCAGGGCTAGGGCATGGATGTGAGGTGGGGCGGGGGGGAGGTTCTTTGTGTAAAATAGAAACATGGTTTTGTACAGAAATAAACAGGCTTGTGTAGAGAGATGGTGTGCAGCTTGGGACTGGGAAGGGGGTGCCACCCCTAGGGCTCAGCACCTCTCCTCCACACCCTACAGAGGCCCCCATCCCAGCCCCAGTTTCCGCTACTTCATCCCCCTTGCCCCACGGCCACCGCCTGCCATGGGTGAGGGTCACCAGGGCCCAGGCAGAGCAGGGCCTGCTCCCCAAGCCTTGACCCTGCCCGTCACAGAGGGGAGGGGCTCCACAAGTCCTTCCGCAGTCCTCCTCCAGCGGCTGGCCTGGGTGCCACTTCAGACCCCAGTAAGGTACTCGTTCTGGGCCGGGTGCTGGTGCCAAGGGTGGGTGATTGTGAAGAACTGCCCTCCCATGCTCAGCCCAGGCCTCCATGCAAGTTAGAGGAGTGCAGGGTGGAGTGTGAATCTGTGACATGAGGCGCCCACTGGCCGCTTACCGAGCTGATCACGTGCCAGGCTGGGCTGGCTGGCTGATGACTGGGTGGGCTTCATCCCTATCCCCGCTTTACAGAGGAGGAAGCAGAGGAGCTGAGCAGGAGAGGTGCAGCCGATCTAGATTGGGGCCCAGAGCCCCTCGCTACCTCTCCCAACTACGGTGACCTGACTCCGCATTGAGGACCCAGGCAGGCAGTGTGGTGACCAGCAAGGGTGAGAACAGGGTGTCCCGGGAGAGGCCCCCCTTCTGCTGAGGAAGCAGCTTTTCCAGTCAAACAATAGTGGCTGTTCCTGGCAGGCCACCAGGCTGGGCCGGGCCGGGGTGGGGGCGCGGGGGGAGAGGGAGGGAGGAGCAGAGCCTCCCTGGGAGCGTTTAGGCATCGCAGGGCTGCAGCCTTGGCCTGGGACGTCCTGTTCTGGTAGAACCCAGAACCGGGAATACTGAGGCTGAGGAGGTCAAGGGTCACATGAACCTTTCAGGGAAAACCACCTACTTCTCACCTCCCGCTGCTCCCCCCGTGGCTCCCTATGCCACCTGCCCCTGAGACGAGGGCTCGGCCTTAGAGGACACTGCCCTCCCCCAGCCCTCCAAGGGCCTGGCCAGGATGCGGTGGCTGCAGTGGTCTGTGGGGACCCACAGAGCCGGAGGGTCTAGGGAGGGCAGGTGCCGCTCCCTTCCATCCGCCTACCGTAAAGACTGCCGAGTGGGCGGGAGGCCTGCTCAGACCTGCTAGGTCCATCAGACCTGAGTCCTGCTCTAACCTGTTTGATTCAGAGCCTTGGCAGTGGGGCCTGAGGACCAGGCAAGGGCCCCTGGAGCACGTTCTGTCCTGCTGCGGAGCCAGCCTCCCTGTGCCCATGCCTGTGCGTGCCGGGGTCTTTGCAGGCCTGAGGACGCCTGAGCGGAGCCCAGCCCTGCTGTGGAAACAAGCCCGCGTTGGCACTCACCAGCCTCAGATCTGGGGCGTCTGCCAGCGCTGGGGGCCTCCTCAGGCATGAAGCATGAAGTTTAGGTGTGCTCAGGCCACGTCGGTCCTGCTCATGACTGCAGCCTTATGTCTCGGCAGAGAACTGAGGACCCAGTGAGCCCCAGGTGCATGGCCCTGTTCCCCCAAAGGCTGAGCTTTGGGCATTTCTGGCCCAAACAAGTGTTCAGCCTGGTGGCCTTCAGCTCCCTCCCCACCACATGCTGCTCAGAGAATGGCTGGGGCCCTCCCTTCTGCTCTGGAAGCTGTGTGAGAAACATGGGGCCCCTGAGTCCAGGTCAAGCTTCACCTTGTCAGTCCACTCACAGGGCTCACGAAGCAGATGAGGGTGTGTCAATACTAGTCCCGGGCAGCCCTCGCTGGGGGACTTTTGTCCCCACCACCCCTGCCAGCTCTGGTGGCCCTGCCCCACGCTGAGCCAAGAGAGGAAGGAGGGGCGAGGCACCAGGACGCTCTCAGGGCAGAGAACCACTCGGCTGCCTGGGCTGCGGCAGCGGACCCCGCCCATCGCACGCTCCAGGAGTTTAGGGGCTGCGTTCTGTCCCAGGCGCGCCTCCAAGGCTCAGCGAAATTAATTCTAAGGCCAGTCTCCGCCGGCTCGGGACCTCAGCGCAGCGAGCGTCCTACGGAAAGCGCGGAGCCCTGAAAGGCGGGGAGGCGCGGCCGGGGCCCCCCCAAGAAGGACTCGACGGGGGTGGGGTCAGCGGGCGATTCCCGAGCCCAAACCGGTGGGGCGGAGCCAGCAGGGGCGGGTAGGGCAGGCCGGACCGAGCAGAGTGAGGCTCCGGCGCTAGAAGGAGGCGTGGCCACCCCGGATTGGCCGCTCGGGCCGCACGGCGTGGCCTTCGGGGAGTTGGCGTAGCTGGCGGCGTGCACTCGGCCGCGCAGCGGCCCCTTTAAGCCCCCCGGCACCGCCCCCAGCGACCCGCCCCCAGCACGGCCTGGGTCCTGCGGGCAGCGGGGTCGGGTCCGCGCGGGCCGCGATGGAGCTGCACATCCTAGAGCACCGGGTGCGGGTGCTGAGCCTCGCCCGCCCCGGTCTCTGGCTCTACACCCACCCGCTCATCAAGCTGCTCTTCCTGCCCCGCCGAAGCCGGTGCGCTCCCGGGTCCGCGGCACAGATGGGGGTGGGCTGCACTGCCGCTCTGGGACGGGGTCGGGAGATTAGGGCCGTCGTGGGGCCAGCGGGAGCCGGCGGGGAGAGCCCTCCCTGCCTTCCTCCCTCCCCCGCCCCCGGCCGCCATCCGGCCTGGGCCTAACCTCCCCGGGACCGCCGCCTATCCGGCCCCGTGAGGCCCCCTCCCAGGGCCGGTTAAGGCGCAAACAGCCCGGGATGGTCAATGCTTAACCCTAGTGGTGTCCGGTGGGGGCATTCTTTCCTGGCGGCTCCGTGGAACTTTTTCCAGTTGCCTGCCGTCGGGTCAGAGGGGCTGGTCTAGAGGGCTCAAGGTTCGACGGCCCGGGTTTGTAGCCGCGGGTGAGCCTCTCCTCGTGTCCGGGCATGGAGGTCGGGGGGGCGGAAAGCAGTTCGCAGTTCTGGAAATGGGCCACACACCCCACCGTCCTAGGGAGAAAACAGGCTTGAGGGGGCAGGGAGGCGCCCGGCCGGGGTCTACCCGCCCCCTCCGCCCCACCCAGGCTGAAGATGCCCCCCGCCCCCAACCAGGTGCAAGTTCTTCAGCCTGACGGAGACCCCCGAGGATTACACGCTCATGGTGGACGAGGAGGGCTTCAAAGGTGGGGGCTGGGCTGGGGAGAGGGCGTAAGGGAGGAGACCGCGCTCGTCTCTTTGCGGGATTCTCACCGAATGCTAGGATCCATGGTCGCAAGAGCTGGGGGCCTGGAAGGCGGATGGATCTGGGTTCGAATCCATTCCCACTTTTCACTGGCTGTGTGCCCTTAAGCAAGTCACTTCCCCTCTCTGAGCTGTTTGTTTCCTCTTATGTAAAATGGAATAGTTACGGCTCTGATCTAATAGAGTCCCTCGAGGGCGTTATAAACGGGGCTGTGTGTGAAGGGCGGTTAGCAGCCCCTGGCCGGCCATCAGGGCCTCAATTACAGTTCCGGGGCAAGAATCGGTTTACTGTGACTGTTTCACCACCCAGCCCCACCCCTGCCGTTATCCCCCCCGACTGACTTCTCTCATCTCGTCTGTGTCACCCCCTCCCCAACTGGTCTGGCGGCTCCAGGAGTCTGAGAGGGTTGGGGAAGGAATGCAGGAGGAGCAGGCAGCCAGCCAGGGCAGGGTCCTGGCGGGCCTCCTAGCTGTGCTTGGGCAATTAGCAGCCACCCTGGCCGTGGCCCCTGCTCCGGACTGGACTCCAGCCTAGTCCGTCCCTGATCCCTGGAGCGGACATCTACCTCCCTACTCCTGCCAGCCTGGCCCAGGCTAACAGGCTTGGAGTCTCAGGCCAGACCACTGGGGCTTCACTGGCAGGCATAGCGCTGCTTCAGGCCTTAGTTTCCCTGTTTGTGCAGCAGGAAAGTTTGGATCTGCTCAGGAAAGGGCATCCCCTAGCCAACTTGGTCTGCTGGCTCCCCCTGGTGGTGCCACACGGTATGAGGCCTCTGTTTGCCCACGAAACACTCGTCTTGCGGTCCATACCGTCACCCCATTTTACAGAAGAGGAAACTGAGGCTCAGAGAAGTCAAATCATTTGCCCCAGGTCAACAGAAAGTAGATGGTGAGGCTGGGATTGGAACCCAGCTCTGTCTGAATTCGGAGCTCCGATCCTAACTGGGAAGTTTCAATCCCTGACAGGCCAACACCTGAAGCACCTCTCAGTCCTTGCAGACATGCAGGTCTCAGGAGCAGAACTTGGGGGAGGAAGACAGCTCCAGTCTCCAGACCTGACCTGACCTTGGTAGAGCTCCCCGTAAGGCTCAGACAGGGAAACAGGGCAGGGGCCAGCCCTGTAGGCCCTGACCAGGCCTGTGCCCCCTGCCCCACAGAGCTGCCCCCATCCGAGTTCCTGCAAGTGGCCGAGGCCACCTGGCTGGTGCTGAACGTGCCGTCCCCCAGTGGCGCGGCCGTGCAGGCTGCCGGGGTCACCAAGATCGCCCGGTCGGTAATCGCGCCGCTGGCCGAGCACCACGTGTCGGTGCTGATGCTGTCCACCTACCAGACAGACTTCATCCTGGTGAGTTTCCCGCCGGTGCTGGCTGGGGGGTGGAGGGGAGGAGGCGTGCGGGGCAGGGTGGGCCCCATGGGTGCTTGGGGACCCATGCATTGTGCCTCTCCTGGCCCAGGTGCGGGAGCAGGACCTGTCCGTGGTGATCCACACGCTGGCCCGGGAGTTCGACATTTACCGAGAGGTGGGCGGGGAGCCTGTGCCGGTTGCCAGGGACGATTCCAGCAACGGCTTTCCCCGTGCTCAGCATGGTGAGACCCGCCCTCTGACACCCGGGCCTCGGCGGGGGCTCCTCTTCCCACCGGGGGCCCTTCCCTTGTGCAGGTGGGGCTGTGGGTTTGGGGAAACCAGCTGACACGCACTCCCCTCCTCACAAGAGGGGGCCGGGAGAACCCAGGCAGCTTCCTGCAGGTGCTGCGTGACCTCCTCCCAGCCCGGCTGTCTCTCTCTGGCTGGCCACCAGGGGGCGCGCCCGCCCACAGTCGCCCCTTGACCTCCGCCACAAACCCTCCCCAGCAGGGCCCAGCCCCACGGTGCACCCCATCCAGAGCCCACAGAACCGATTCTGCGTCCTCACGCTGGACCCCGAGACTCTGCCAGCCATCGCCACCACCCTCATCGACGTCCTCTTCTATACACATAGGTGGGCCCTCGTTGGCATTGGTCCTCACAACCTTGTTCCCAAGCTCCTTCCCACCACCTTCCGCCCACCCCTGGGTTCTGCAGTTCTGTGCCCTGTTAGGTGGCTGGGGTTCCCGGCCGCCTGCGACACCCCTGTGCCCAGCACTGAGGTCCAGGCAAGGTCCCGAAGCCACAGCTGGAGCCCCCTCCCCACCCTGGAGTGGGCAGGGCCCCCTGAGCTGTGCCCTGGTCAGGCCCTCTGGGCCTGGGGTAAAATCCTCTTTGTCACACTCAGGGTTCGTCATCCTCTCCCATCCCCAGCCATACCAGCAGGTCAGGGCCCTCAGACAAGGGATGAGGGCAGGGGGCCAGGAGGGTCTGCCCAGGGCTGCCTGTGCCAGCCCCTTCGCTGGCATGGAGCCCGGCTGGGAGGTGGAGCTGGCCGAGCACCTGAGGCTCCCCTCCTCCGCAGCCCCCCTAGGGAGGCAGCCTCTGGTGGTCCCGGATCCAGTTCCATCACCTTCTTTGCCTTCTCCCTCATCGAAGGCTACATCTCCATCGTCATGGATGCTGAGACGCAGAAAAAGTAAGTGACCCCTGACCCCAGGTGGCACACAGGCCCCGGCCAGCCCCTGGGAGGGGGCAGCTAGAGCGTCCAACGCTGAGGTCAGCCGGCTGACCTCCTCCCGGGGCTCACAGCGGAGGCAAGGGGGGACCCGGGTGCCCCTGCCCACCGCCCTCCTGCCGCCCCAGGTTCCCCAGTGACCTGCTGCTGACCAGCTCCTCGGGTGAGCTGTGGAGGATGGTGCGCATTGGCGGACAGCCCCTGGGCTTCGGTGAGGGGCCGCACCTTGTGTCGGGGGCTGCGGAAGGGCTGGGGCCTGGGGGGGTTGCGAGGGGGGGACCGGGGGGACCCACACAGCCCTTCCTCGGCCCTCAGATGAGTGTGGGATCGTGGCCCAGATCGCCAGCCCCCTGGCTGCGGCCGACATCTCCGCCTACTACATCAGCACCTTCAACTTTGACCATGCCTTGGTGAGCCGGCTGGCTGGGGAGGGGACCCTGGGGGAAAGGGGCAGGGGCAGGGCGGCCCTGATGCCTCCCTGTGCCCGCCGGCCCGCAGGTGCCCGAGGACGGCATCAGCAGCGTCATCGAGGTCCTCCAGCGCCGGCAGGATGGCCTGGGCTCCTGAGGCTCCAGGAGTGGGGGGGCAACAGCAGCCTCCGGGGTCTCCCCTTGCCCTCTGGCTTCCAAAGACTTCTCAAAGCTGTGTGCTCCAGCTCTGGGATGTTCCCGGAGGGAGGCCCCCTCCTTCTGCTCTGTGTGTGTAAGCTGCGAGCAGACGCCGGCTCTCAACGTGGCTGCCGCATGTCTGCCCAACGCAGGGGACGTGGTGCTCGGGGATTCCTCCAGGAAGCCCTCAACCCATCACTGCCTGTGGGGCCTTGGGGTTTGCACATTCCCTGCCTGAGGCCTGAGCCTCCACCCTCTCCGCGCCGCCCCGGCTGGGTTGCCTGACCCAGCAAAGGAGTTCTGACCGTGCCTTCCCTTCCTGGGGCCTCCAAGAAAAGTATTTTTACACCTCTCTCTCTCTCTCTCTCTCTTTCCTTTTTAAGTCAACTTGTTAATAAAGAGCTTCTAGCGAGCAGACTGGGCTGTGGTCCTTGGGGTTCGAGCCTCAGCCACGGGGCTGCCCCCAGCAGTCCTGGACTCTGCCCCCCTCTGCCACCCCATCCCGTGAAGCCGGCTCTGGGCCGGGCTTGCCTGAACCTCCCCCGGTGCTCACCTCAAGAGCCGTTGCCCCCGTTCTCAAGACAAAGTGACTGGAGCGCCGGCAGGGGGAGCGACCTAAGCCAGGACCGTGTGGTTCCCGGCTGGGGCTGCCTGGCTCTGAGGCTCAAGCTCTCGGTTCATTCCTTTCTGGGTCGGAACAGCCCAGAAGGTTCAGAGCAGAGGCTCACAGACCCTGCTGTCTGGGGTGGGGGGCTCCCACAACTCCCCCTGACCCCCCTGCCACCTTGGTAGTGGCTGGCCTGCCGGAGGCTTTCTTTTGGACCATGCCTGAGTTCTGGCCATCCCTTTGTGGGAGTGATCACTCAGTTCTTGCCCCCAGGGCTTTCCCGGAGCAGTGCTGGGCGGGGCCGGCCAGAGTGGGCCACTGAGAGTCCGCGCTGGGCTTGGGCTTGGCCCAGCCAAGCGGAGGGAACAGGGGGCCACCAGAGGCCCCCTGGAGCCTCCGCAGCCAGAGGCTCCACAAACCCGGGCCCAGGTTTCCTGTCGCCGTGGGGCCACCTCCCCGTTCCGCGGGCTGGGATTCCGCTGTGACCCGGTGGAGCCCTGCAGATGCGCGGGGAAGGTTATCGGGTGCCCTCAGCCCAGACCCGCCCGCGCACGGGAAGGGAAGAAGGGTGTGACTTCGGGGTACTCTGAGGTCGTGGTGGCTCCCCAGAAAAGCCAGAGCAGGGCCAGGCCTCTGGCAGCGCGCCCGCCCTGCCCCTGGGAACCTGGGGGCTGCAGATCAGAGGAGCAGGGAGCACGGCCCAGCCTGGTGAGTGGTGGTCGGGGGCCCAGGCCAGCCCCTTCCCCCCTCCCCCTGGCCTCAGTTTCCCCAGTGCCTGGAGACCCGGGAGGCAGCCCCCTCAGGGTCCAATACACGCTGGGCCCTGGGGAGGGGGCATTTGTCTGTGGATTGTCTTTGGGGTGAGGGGAGTCTTGCTTCTCTCCCTGGAGGGCCCACTCTGGGCCTTGGCTGGAGGGATGTCCCGGGCTGAGATGGGGGCTTTAGAACCAGAAATACCGGGGCTGCCTAACCTGCAGCTAGAGGGCTCCTGGCCGCCTGTCCAGCTCTCGGGGTTGGGGGGGGGGGTCTGTCTATCTCTCTGTTTGTGAGTCACTGCCTTATTTGGGTGTTCCTGTCACCCCAGCTTTCCAAGTGGGTCCGGCCTCTCCCGGTCCTCCAAACTGGATTTTAACATAGCATTGGTTAGTTCTGGGGCCTGCCCTCCGGACTGGCCTGGGCAGGAGTCACAGGTGCCCCGCTGGGTCGGCCTGACTCAGGCCCAGGCCTCGAGGCCAGCACACCAGCCTGCATCTCCTCCCCACGCGTGTGTGTGTGGAGGGGGGTCGTTAGCTCTCGGGGCGTTAGGGTCCTTGGGGGTCACTGGACTGGCTCTCAGCAGGTTACAGATGGGGAGACTAAGACCCACCTGGAACCACTGAGACCCACAGGGCTTGGGCAGCGCCTGCAGCACACAGCTGCCTGGAGACGGGGATGTGACTGTGGCCCTCTCACTGAGCTGATTCTGTGGGTGCTGTCAGATGGACGGGTCCCGGCCCGTGTCCCAGGCCAGTGGGGTGGGGCAGAGGTGGCTCATGGACTGACCTTCTTAGCCTCCCAGGCCCCAGAGAGTTCCAGGGCGAAGGAAGTCGGTTTGGTCAGCCCAGGCTTGGGCTTGAGGTCATTCATAACTGAGGTTGGGGGCCCTCAGTGGCACACTCGGAGCCTCGGGGTGGCCGCTCCCGAGCGTGAGGTTGAGGCCCCAGACTGCGGGGCCTGACGCTTGTCCTCAAAGATCAGCCTGTGGCCTGGGAGAGCAGGCGGGCCCCACGTGTAGCCTCAGCCCCATGTCCTTCGTCTGCTGGGGGGTATGAGCATGGGCGGGCGGCTCTGGGTGGTGGGACAGGAGGTGGGCACACCTCAGGGGGAAGAACCCGAGGCTCATTTCCACGCTTTCTGGTTTCCACAGTCATACTGACTTTGTCAGCCCTCCTCCAAGCGTTTGAGCAGAAATTCAAGGTTTAAGGTCCTTACCCGCCTTGGCCAGGCCGGGCCGTGTGGTCCCGTGCTTGCAAAATTGCCGCAAAGAGGGTTTCTTTTCCTGCATAGAGGGGAGGATAAAACTACTCCCCCAGCATGGTCTACTGGTCCCACTGGGTGGGACGGGTCCAGGCTGGAGGCAGGAGGAACAGCCCAGTCTGCAGCAGGCCAGCCGGCCACCCAGGGAGGCCGTGGTCCCCCCTGCATGTGGGGGAGGGGTGTGGCATGCTGCATTAATTCACATATTCACCACGCCCTCCCATCGGCCCCCTTTACCAGGAGAAATGAAGCGCAGAGCTGTGAAGGTCACACAGCTGGGCACGGCAGAAGCAGAATTTAAAAAGAAGGCCAATAGTGCCCATGGGGCCTGGGGAGGTCCCCGGGGCGGGGTGGGGGTGTGGGTGGGCAGGGACAGTGTAGCTGACCCTTGAGGGACCCGGGTGATTTTGCAAGCTCCCTCGCAATCCCGGCTGTCTGCGTCGCTGGCTGGGCGTCTGCCGCCGGTGCGTGGGCAGGCACGCACGGCCTGGCCCTGGCTCCTCCCTGACCCCAGGCTGGGTGTTGGGCAACAGCTGCGGTTTGTGTCTCCCTTTCCCAGGCGGGCCCTGGTGCTGGGGTTCCTGAATCCAGGGGTGTCTCAAAGAGGGGTGCCCAGAGCTCCCTTCCCCAAGGGGAGGGGGTCGGTCACGGTGCTGCATGGAGGGGAGGTGTGCACTTGCGGTGTGCAGGCCTTGTTTGTGCAAAACAAACGAGTCTGTTTTGGCCAGAGAGTATATATGTGTGTCTGTCTGTCTGCACATGCTTCTGAGTGTCCGTGTGTCTGTGTACTTGTGCTCCCGTGTCGGAGGTCTGGGTGTCTACAGACGTACGTGCACCCAGCTACTCATAACCCTCAGCTGTGTGCCTGGCTCTGTCCCAGCACGTGTCCATGTATGCGTGGCTGGCGTGTGCATCTGCTCCACTGTGTGCGTGTGAGCGTTTGCGGCACGTGTTTCTGGGTGTGTTTTCACCTGTGGCTGGGCCCGTTTTCCTGTGTCCGTGTGTGCACGCACACGTCTGCATGCTTTGTCTTCACGTCCACCCTGCCCCTCGTGTACCCTCGTGTGCACCTTCCTTCCTGGACTCACTCCGCCCCGGGCCCCTCTGCCTCTCCCCGAGGCCGGAAGGCCCAGCCCCCTGCAGTCACCAGGGGAGCGGTGCGCTGTGCTGCCCTCCCCACCCCTGCCCTCTGCCTGGCCCCTGCCCGCCTCCGCCCTCAGCATCTCCGACCCCCTCCTCCCCCTCTGCCCACATTTCCGTCCCTCCTCTTTTGCCTGCAGCCCCAAGGGAGCCTGGCTCTGCTTTCTGGCCCCCTCAGCCTGAGCTCGCTACAGGGACCCAGCCCCACTGCCCCGAGTCCGCGCAGGGTTGTCCTCGCCAGCGTGGCTGCCCCGGGCCTCCTGCTGGTCCCCCCGCCTGGGTCCCCTCCTGGCACACCCTGGCCTTGTACATTTAGGTGTGCCTTCTTTTTTTTTTTTTGCGTGGCATGTGAAATCTTAGTTCCCCAGTCGCGGATCAAACCGGCGCCCCCTGCACTGGAAGCGTGGAGTGTTAGCCACTGGACCACCAGGCGCACCTTTTCTAAGTTGACAAACGCGAGCCCAGGGTGCAGGCGCTGCTCCAGCACTCACCCAGAAGGGGCTGTGGAGACCCCCTGACTCCCTCCTGCCTCTTTGGAGCCCACTTCCTGCCTCCCAAACTCTTTGTGTTCCTGGAGTGGTGTTTTTTAAACTCTGCCTTAATTTTTTTTTTTCCCTAATTGAGGCGAAATTCACACAATGTCAAGTTGACCATATAAAAGTGAAGAGCTACCTCCGGGGCATTTAGCGCATTGTGTTGAGCAACCATCACCTCATCTAATTCCAGAACACTTTCATCACCCCAAGAGGAAACCCTGTACCGCTCAGCTGTCACTTCCCATTCCCCTCCCGCAGCCCCTGGCAATCACCAGAGTGTCTTTATGGATTTCTCTATTCTGGACATTTCCTACAAATGCAGTCATCTCATATGTGACTTTTGATGTCTAGCCTTTTCACTCAGCGTGATGCTTTTGAGGCACATACAGGTGAATGCACATGTTAGTACTCCATTCTTTTTCATGGCTGAATAATATTCCAATGCATGACAGAATCATGTTTTTTGGACATAACCACTTTTTTAAAATTTTATCAGAGTATAGTTTCTTTACAATGTTGTGTTAGTCTCTGCTTTATGGCAAAGTGAATCAGCTGTATGCATACCTATATCCCCTCTTTTCTGGACTTCCTTCCCGTTAAGGCTGGGCCTTCCTGGTGGCTCAGACGGTAAAGAATCTGCCTGCGATGCAGGAGAACCCGGGTTCAATCTCTGGGTCAGGAAGATCCCCTGGAGAAGGAAATGCAACTCCCACTCCAGTATCCTTGACTGGAGAGTCCCATGGACAGAGGAGCCTGGCGGGCCACAGTCCGCGGGGTCACAGAGACTCAGACACGGCTGAGTGGCTAACACTTTTTCCCATTTAGGTTGCCCCAGAGCACCGAGTAGAGCCCCCTGAACTAGACAGGAATTCTCGCAGTAGATGCTCACCAGTTACCTATTTTATACACTGCAATGTGTATGACATAACCACTGTTTTTTATCCATTATTCGCTGACGGACTTTCGGGTTGTTCCCACCTTTGGCCTGTTTAAGCTCTGCCTCCTTGACCCTGGGGATGCACAGCAGTTGTGTTCAATGCCCTACTGTCCTCTTCCTCACGTGCTTGTTCTGTGGATGGCCCCAAATGGACACACACTGTCACCCAGCTGAATGGCCACCAACCAGTCGACCCTTGGACAGAGCAAGACTTTTCTCCCCTCAGACCTGGAGGATGTTTCTGTCTCCATATCAGAATGAATGCTCAGAGTTTCCTTAGCGCGTCCCCAAGAACAGGAAGAGGAAGAAAGCAAGCCTTCCCAGTGCCCATCCCAGGTCATTTCCTCCAGGGCCCGCAATCGGCATCTCTGCAAAGCGAATCCTGCCTCAAGCATTTACCACTTTGTAGACAGCCCCATGGGGCCCCCAGCCTGTTCCCCTATCTCCTTCCAGTTGCCAAGCAAAGCTGGTGAGCTTGGGCTGCAGCTGGCACCCAGAGCAGGCTCAGCCATCCCACTTCCTCCCTCCACGCCCTCCACCCTGAGGACTGAGGACTCCCCGAGGTACTGGGAAGCCAGCTCAGCTAGCAGAACTGGCCTCTTGGCACGTCCTGTGTAGCTGCAACCTGACTTCGTGCAGGGACCAGGGGCTCAGGAAACTCCCTCGGCCTCTCTGGCTGCACCAGCCACTTTCTCGCCCCCGTTGCAGGACCTCACTCTCACCTGTGACATCCCGGTTCAGAAACTCCAGCCATGGCAGGGAGGCGTGTCTCCTGGGTCTCACCATCAGTCCCGGGAAGGACTCTGATGGGGGGCGGGGGGCGGGCAGGGGAGGGCAGCAGGGCAGGGGCAGACAGGATGCAGGTGCATTGCTAGATCCCGGGGTACCACTACGATCAGGTTGGGTCAGCATTCACTCCTGCAGCAAGAAACAGGCAGCCTGGCAAATGAGTCTTCCAGGTCCCTCCAGGCTTCACAGTAATTTCACTCACCTGTGAGTAAGCCTTGTCTTTCTTGGGGATTTATCACTTGCACCTGGCCTGGTGCCCCACACATGCAGCAGGTTCTTTATTACCTAGAGGTTGAATGAGGGATGGTAGGCTTGTCCCCTCCAACGGAGGCTGGCGCCTTTGACGAGGCTTACGTAGAATTTGTCCTGAAATGCATTCTTGAAGGGAAGTGGGAGAAATGCTTTGCCGTTTTCCTTTTCAGTTTGTTTTTGCAGGGAAGTGTTGAAATCTGCAGAGGCTGAAAGAATAGATGTTGAATTCACTTTTGAAAAATCATCATAAAAGAAAAAGTCAGCATCTTTAACCATCGAGGCTTCCTGAAAAGGAGGGATCACATGCCTTGGTGTACTGTGAGTGATGCGATTCTGACGTTCCTCGGAAAGAGGGCACTGGAAAGGCTCCAAGAGGCCTGGTCCCACCCAGCGTTGAAGCAGGCCTACACTTGTAGAGGCCCGGCTGCAGGGGTCTCTACATGGTGGCTGGGGACGCGCCTGGGCCCCGTAGCCGCATTTGCACGGTCGTGCATCCATCCATTCATTAAGGATTTATTGAGCACCTACTGCATTCCAGGGCTTCCCTGGTGGCTCAGATGGTAAAGAATCCACCTGCCAATGCGGGAGACCTGGGTTCGATCCCGGGGTGGGGAAGTTCCCCTGGAGAAGGAAATGGCAACCCACTCCAGTACTCTTGCCTGGAGAATCCCCAAGGGCAGAGGAGCCTGGCAGGCCACAGTCCATGGCATCGCAAAGAGTTGGACAGGACAGAGCGAGTAACACTTTCACTTTCACTACTACATTCCAAGGCCTTGGCCATGCTCTGGAGACAGGCGATGGGGAACCACCACCAACAGTGCACACCCTCTTGGAATTTACAGTCTGGCTGGGGACACAACCCCACAGTTGTAGAAGTTTACGGTTCTGAAGAATGCTACAGAGAGGGGTATGTCTGGCGTGGGGGCGGGAGTTCAGAAACTAGGCTGGGGTAAAGGGAGGTCACTTGAAGAACTGAAAGTTGGTGTCCGATGGCAGTTCAGTAGGAGGAGTGTTCAGGCAGTGGGTACAGCATGTGCCAAGGCCCTGGGGTAGGAGCTCAGCTCCTCTGGGGGCTGAGGAAGGTCAGAGAGAGTGGCGGGCAAGCCGGAGAGGTGTTGGGTGAAGCTGGGGAGGGGGGCAGGGACTGGGGGCTGTGGCGATGACTTTGGCCTTATCCAAGAGGCAACAGGAAGCCAGGGAGTGTTTTGAGCAAGAGGATCAGACCAGGCTGTGTTGTGCAAGCCCCTCTGGAGGGCGGCTTGGTGTTGATTTGACTGTGTTGGGTCTTGGTTGCAGCACACAAGATCTTCATTGCGGGCTTAATTGCCTGCTACAGGTGGGACCTTAGTTACTCAATGACCAGGGATCGAACCTCCGTCCCCTGCATTGCAGGCATCACTGCAAGAGGGATTCTTAATCTCTGGATCTCCAGGGTAGTTCCCCGCGCCTCCCCGCAACCTCCCCATTCAACTTCCAGCCACACCCTTCATCCTGTAAACTGTTCCATGAGGTCCTCCTTGCCCTTACAATTCTCTCGACCTGGAATTTGTAGCATTTCTTTTCTGCCTTTCTGCCAACGAAACCTGGAATTTCACAGGTTTCACTGTGGAATTCACAATTTCAGCGATGTCTGTGCAGAGCCTTGGAAATACCCACCTCCACCCCCAGCGTCCCCAGGCAGCCAACCCCGTGAGAGCGGACCTCCCAGCTCCCCGCTCTGGGAGCCGCTGGCGTTTGTTTCTGTGGCGTCTTTGCCTGCTCCCAGCTGTGCACCTTTCCGCAAGCTCCCACCTCTCAGGCCTCAGTTTCCCCAACTGCAGGGCAAGGACCATGGGCTCTGCCTCAGTAGAGGGTTTCAAGGATGCAGGGAGCTGACCCAGGAGAGAGGCCTGGTCCCGGCCCCCAGAAGAGCTGCAGAAATGAGCCTGATTGTCACCACTGGGCACACAGCACGTGCCTGGAGCACCAAAACATTTTTGGCAAGAATGTGATGTTTCAAAATAGGCCTCATGGGTTGTCATCGTGAGAAAAGCCAGGACTCCATTCGCTGGACTCCTTGATCCTCCTGATGTTTGCCAGGTCACTCAGTCGTGTCCGACTCTCTGCAACCCCGGACTGTAGCCCGCCAGGCTCCTCTGTCCATGGGATTTCCCAGGCAGAAATACTGGAGTGGGATGCCATGCCCTCTTCCAAGGGATCTTCCCGACCCAAGGATTGAACCTGAGTCTCTTCTGTCTCCTGCATTGGCAGGAGGCTGGATGTTTAGGTTTGCTTTTATTTACGGTGACATCTCAGTGTTTGGAGTTGCCACGGGACCCTATGGCGCTTTATAGGGTTGCGGACCCTCTGTGGTCATCTCTCCTGTCCCAGGACCTCACAGAGGAGACCCTGGGCTCAAAGAGGGTGGCCCAGCGGTGGGGTCATCTGTAGGCTCAGCTCCTGTCCAGCACACCTCAGAGTCGATGAAGCAGCCCCGTGTTCGCCTTGGCCTGGGGAGGGGTTCCCCGTGGCAGGGCCCGGTCTGCGGGCTGACAGCTGACGGCTAAGGTGAGGCTGCTGCAGGAAAGCAAGTCCCTCTCCTCTCTCTCTGCACTTCCCTGAATAGTGTTCAGGCTCCTGGAAGCGGGGGTCAGTCGCCCGATTTGGGGGAACCAGTGGGTGCAGGGAAGGGCATGCAGTCCCATCCCCACGGACACACCAGGTCCCAGGAGCACCCTGGCAGGTCTTGAGTCAGATGACCCCCAGGCCAAGGGTGACCTCGCTGACCTCACAGGGGCCCTGGAAGAGCCTTGCTCACCCGGCATTTATGTAACGTGAGTTTCCCAACTGCCCTCAGAGTCACCCTGTGACACGCAGATCTGCGCCGCCGTCTGCCCCAGTGGCTGGTGGGTGAGCGCTCGTGGCCACTCGCTACGGACCGGGCATCGGCGTGCCCTGTCCACGGAATTTCGGTGCCGCCCATGTACCTCTAGGCACGAAGGCTCCGGTACTTGTGGCACACGGGCTTAGTTGCTCCGAGGCATGTGGGATCTCCCGAGCCAGGGGTCGAACCCGCGTTCCCCTCATTGGCAGGCAGATTCCTATCCACTGCGCCACCAGGGAAGTGCCCATCAGGTGCATTTAAAGTGTATATAATTCAAGGACTTATATCCAACTGCTGGAGCCCACGTGGCCACCACAGCGAGAAACCTGTTCTCCGCAAATGAAGAGTAGCCTGCCGGCCACAGCCAGAGGAGAGCCTCCACGCAGCAGTGAAGCTCTAGCCCAGCCAAAAATAATAAATAAACAAATAAAAAGTAAATAAATTATAAGAAAAGCCATAATTCAGTGGTTTAAGTACATTTATAAGACAGTGAAATCATCTGTTTGATAGTTAAAAAAATATTTTCATCCCCACCCCCCAAAGAAACCCTATCCATAAGCTATCACTTCTTGCCTGTCCCCAGACCCCCCAGCCCCTGGCAACCACTAATCCACTCTCTGTCTCTATGGATTCACCTTTTCTGGACATTTCATATAAAGGAAACATACGTGGCCTTTTCTGACTGACTTTCATGGGGCATAATGATTTTGAGGTTCATCCATGTTGTAGCATGCATCAATACCTCATCTCTCTTTCTGGCTGAATAATATTCCATCATATGGACAGACCACGTTTTAAAATCCATTTCCTGTTGATGGACAATTGGCTTGCTTCTCCATTCGGGCTATTGTGCGTGAATGCTTCTGTGAACATCTGTGTGCAAGCTTTTGTGTGATCACTTGATTTCAGTTCTCTGGCGTGCATACCCAGGAGTGGGACTGCTGGTTGTCTGGGATTTCTACGCTCACCATTTGGGGAAGAGACATTCTTTTCCCTAAGTGGCTGAATGCACCCTCTTTCGTTCCCCCCAGCAGTGCACAAGGGCTCCTGCTTCTCCCCGTCCAGTAAGTCAAACGCACTGTCTGTCTGACTGCAGGTGCCCTGGTGGAGGTGGAGTGGCATCTCGCTGTAGTTTGGACGTGCATTTTCCTGATGACACTGACATCTTTTCGCATACTTATTGGCCATTTATATCCGGTTTGGAGAAAAGTCTTTTTAAATCCCTTGCCCATTTAAAAATTGGGTTGTAGGCACTTCCCTGATGGTCCAGTGGTTAAGACTTAGCCTTCCTTGCATAGGCTTGGCTGAAACTATCACAACATTGTTAATCGGCTCTACACCAACACAAAACAAAAACTTTGAGAGGAAAAAAAAAAAGACTTCACCTTCCAACACAGAGGGTGTGGGTTCAACCCCTGGTCAGGGAGCTGAGATCCCACATGCCTCGCAGCCAAAAACCAAAACAGAAGAGAAGCCGTATCGTAACAAATTCAATGGAGACTTAAAAACGGCCCACGTCAAACAAAAATTTTGTTTAATTAAAAAATGGGGTTGTTTGTCTTCTCTGTTGTTAAACTGTGGCACTGTGGTGGCAAGAGGGGAAACTGAGGTTCAGAAAAGGGGGGTGTGACTGGGCCAAGAATTCCAGGCTCACAAGCAGATGGAGACCGGAGCCTGCGTTGGTCTCCGCCCATAGCCTGCAGGCCTCTGCACCCAGGGGCCTCCTGCGTCCACTGTTGACCTGCCCCAGGTCACATCAAATCCTTTCCTTGTGTTTAAAGTGGGGGTGGATCCCCAGCTGGAGGGTGGATCAGAAAGGCGAGGAAACAGCAGTTCTGAGGAACCAAGTGGGCCCTCTCTTCCCCTCCGGATCACGCGGACCTGGCTGACGTGGCCTGGGAAGCGGGGACAGCCTGGGCCCTGTGGTCGCGGAGCCTATTTATACCGACGGGGGCCGTGTCGCAAGCCTTTCCTGCTGGCAGGAGGGACGTCACCAGGCGCTGACCTCACCAGAAACGCTGACGCATCTTCCCCTTACGCTTCGCTCGGATGGGGCTGTGGGGCTGCCTCACCTCGGCCTCCTCCCACCCAGCTCTGGGCTTCTCCCCAGTGTCCCCACTCCCTGCAGCCCCCCAACCACACCCTCTACCTGAAGCCGTTGATTTGCGTCCCTCAAGTGCGTGCACTGAGGTCATGACCCCCAGCACCTCAAAATATGAGTGTGCACAGAGCCAGGGCCTGGAAAGGGGCAATCGGGGTAAAGTGGGTCCACTGGGGGGGGCCCCATTGCAATGTAACAGGTGTCCTTAGAAGAAGAGGAGGTCGGGGCTTCCCTGGTGTGGCTCAGTGGTAAAGAAGCCACCGGTCAGCGCAGGGGATGTGAGTTCGATCCCTGGTCCGGGAGGATCCCATGTGCCGTGGAGCAGCAAAGCCCATGCGCCACAGCTACTGAGCCTGTGCTCGAAAGCCCGCGAGCCCTAGGTCCTCTGCAACAAGAGAAGCCACCGCAATGAAGAGCCTGTGGGCCGCAACTAGAGAAATGCCCATGCGGCAGTGAAGACCCAACACGGCCCCAAATATTTTTTTAAAAAAGGAGAAGAGATCTGGGCACAGACAGACACGGCAGGGCAGCCGTGGGAGGAGATGACGAGAAGCCGGCCATCTGCGAGCTGAGGAGGGCGGCCTCAGGATGAATCCAGCACCTTGAGCTCAGACTTTCAGCTCCAGGACTGTGAGAAAACACTGTTGTATACTTCTGTCTGTGGTACCTGGTTATGGCAGCTCCAGCAAACTCACATGTAAGTTTAAAGCTACGTGCTCAGAGCCAGCTCTTTCAGATATGCAGGCACCCTCTTAAATGTTTTTATAAAAGGTACACCACAGGTGGGTCGATCTCAATGTCTCTAGGACTTGGAGGCCTCTTTAAACCCAGGAGAAAAAAAAAAATAAATAAATAAACCCAGGAGACCCTACTGCCTCTGGACCGAGGGGTGAAAACCCTGGGCTGTCCCCTGAGCGTGGAGGCCGCTCAGCAAGGGCATGAGGCTCTCTGGCCAGACCTGGCTCTCCCACATGGAGCCCAGCCCTGAGCTTTTCCAAGGTTCCATTTTTCTCTCATTACCAGGAGCCAGGGAACTTCCCTGGTGGTCCAGTGGTTAAGAATCCACCTTCCAACGCAGGGGATGCAGGTTTGATCCTTGGTTGGGGAACTAAGATGCCACAAGCCACAGGACAGCTAAGCCCAGGCACCACACTTGAAACCCACTCACCACAACAAAAGATCCTGCATTCTGCAGCTAAGACCCAACACAGCCAAATAAGTACATTTTTTTTTTTAAAAAAAAGCGAACGACTATTTAAAAAAGGGAGCTGAGGCACGCGTGCCAGGCCATTGTCCCTCCCGGGGCTGCAGCGAGATGAGATCAGAGAGTGAAACGAACAAGGACCCGGGCCTGGCCTGGGCCCAGGAAGCTGCCTCGTGGGAGTGGGAGCCGGGACGGGCAGGCGAGCGGAAGTGACGTTCTCAGGAGGAGAATCCAGAACTGGGCCTTGAGGGTGGCGAGGGTGTGATGAGGACCAGGGAGTAGGCTGGGGGGGTGAGGAGAAGCCTCCGGGGTTTGGGATGAGGGGGTGCCCCTGGTGTTGCCCATTGCTAGTTCCTTAGCACTTGGAAAAGAGCAGGCCAAATAAATGTTTGTTGACTGCATAAATGACCCTGCAGAGAGGCGGGCTGCTGGGAATGGCCTTGGGGGTATTGATGGGTGCTGGGGTGGGTGCCCGGCCTCCCTCCTTCCAGCCACCTTGGCATTCCTGATCCGGGCTCCGCAGGGCCCAAGCGGCTCAGGCCTCCCTGGCCCCATGCCCCTCTGGGGGCCCCACCCCGCTTCTCAGCCTTTGACACCCTCCTGCCCACGGCACTCCTCAGGGTGCAGGCCAAGGACCCCCAGCCGGTCTGCTGGAGGCGCTGAGGTGTCTGCGCTCTCACGGGGCCTCCGTTCATCCTGTGGGGAAACAGCAGGTTGACTCAGGAGGCGCTGTCTCCGGGGGCCCCTCCTCTCATTTCTTTGAGAAGCAGAGGACCTACTTGAGATCACTATCTTTCAGAGAAAGTGAAACCTGGTCCCCAACCGTCACCACAGCGACTCCCCCTCCAGCTTCCCCTCTGAGCTCACAGCTTCCTCATCCCCTCCGCCCCCCTACCCCGCCTCCCCGACAGCCAATACTTGGAATCAGACTGCTTCATCGCTCCTTTTTCCTTCAAAGGGCCTTTGCCTTTTATGTCCATGATGGCAGCAGCTCGGTGAGGTAGCTAGGACATACTTTTCAAATCCTCATTTTGCAGGTGGCAGGGGCCTCCGAGGCCCAGAGAGGTGAAATGAACTGCCTTGGGCCACATAGCATGTCAGTGGGCTTGAGTCTTGATCTCCCTTTTCTCTTGCCCCAAGCGCCTGGTTCGATGGGCCTGGGATGGGGAACACTGGTTATATGAGGGGTGCCTCGTCGGGGAGAGGAGATGGCGGGGAGCCCCACTGAGGGATGCAGGTCTTGGGGCCAGAACCACAATCTCAGGGCTGCCAGCCTGGGTCTGGCTCTGTGCCCAGAGCCCCGTGGTTTCCGCTCACAGATGTCCCAACAGCCCCGCGGGAGGGCGGGAAGGGCACCCGAGAAGGAAGATGTCTCGCTCCCCTCACCCCCCAACCACAGTGGCCTGCAAGGCCGACGGCTCCCGGGCAGGGACCAGGCTATGGGCCCTCCAAGGACCCGGCTGGCAAACCCTCTGATCCATCCCGGACACGGCACCCCTGCAGCGGGCATGGACCCCCTTGCTTCCCTGCTCACCCCAGGAAGGCTGAGGCTGTGGTTTGCATCATCCTTGGGCGTGGGGGGCTGACCTCGAAGAATGAATTCGAAGAAAACAGGAGGAGGAGCAGGCATGCCACCGCACTGGGCGCCCATTGGCCGCCTGTAGAAACTTTGGTTTTTTTTTAGGGTCATGTTCCCAGAAGGCCTCCCCTCCCCCCACCCCACCCCCTCCCCACCCACCTCACGAGGTGTTGGCCAATCACCCCGACGGGCATAAAGGGGCTGCCAGCCCTCAGGGCTCCAGGCAGGGAGGTGTCACCCCCAGCGGGCACAGGCCGGAGCTCGGTCACCCAGCATGCGGGCACAGAGTATGCAGAGGACACTACTCAGTGAGTACTTCCTTCCTTCCCGCCGGCACCTGCCTGCCGGGCTCACGGGCACCCGTGGGGAGCAGGGCCACCCTTTGCCCTCTGGGAACCGTGCAGAAGGATGCTGACAAGGGGAGAGAGCCAGGGGGTCAGGCAAAGAGAAAGGGACCCACTGAGAACACAGCATCTTCACAGGAGAAGGGTATCCTCGGAGGGCTTCCAGGTGGAGGTGATGCAGAGTCGTGGACTCTGGGAGCAAAGGAGTGAGGGAAGGAGGTCACCACTGAGGGAGAAGCCAGGGAAGCCAGGGGGAGGCGGGAGATGTGCTGGGGCAGAGGAGGAGGCCGGGGAAGCTGAGCAGGATTGCAGTGTGATGTCTGGAAGGCCGGTGGGGTGCCTCCTTTTTTTTGCCCGGATTCGCAGGCCCTGGGATGGATGGGCACTGTCAGCTGGGTCTGGGGGCCCGGGAGCCCACACAATCACACAGCACCCACAGCCACACCCACAGGGTGACAGGCACACAGAGCTGCGTGACGTCATCGGGGCCCTCGGTGGCAGCATCTGGGAGGCCCCGCACTCAGCCCAGGGCCCCTGCGGCCGGCGGGTCACAACGGCTGGCCGTGTGTGGCGGGAGGTTCCCTTGGGCCTTGCGCAGACCCAGACACACGCCCACACAGGCACTCTGGTCCCACGTGCTCGGGGCCCAAGCCAGCGCCCCCCGCCCCAGCCCTGCAGCAGGTACCTGGGGGGCGGTAGGGGGTGCCTGTGGTCGCGCTTCCTGGGTGCCCAGCCCCCTGGGCCCCGGCTGCAGCGTCTTCCCCAAGGGGCCACGGTTCCTAGGAGGGGAAGGTGGTGTCACTGCCTTCCGGGCCATTGCACCACAGGCCCTTCCGACCACGTGGTTGGCGGTGCCCGGTGGGTGGGTGGGGGGAGGCGGGGGAGGGGCGGGGGAAGCTGTGACGGTGCCCGCCCACTGGGGGGCGCTCTGGCTCACCGCCTCTCTTGGAGGGGGGTGCCTGAAAGAAGTGGCCGTTTCCAGAGAGAGGAGGGAGGCCCGAGAGATGGGGGCAGAGGGTGGCCTTGGGTGACCCGAACAAGCCCTTCTCCTTTGGCGCCTTGGTTCTCCTGTGGGTCAGACGGGGGCGTAGACGAGTTGATCTCAGGCATCCTCTCCAGGTGGAGAGGCAGACCCTCCTGGTACTCCAGACAGAGCTCTGGGCCGGGGCTGCAAACCCCTCTGGAGGCCCCCTGCGAGGATGGGGGGGACTGGGGCCTGTCCCGGGGAGGGGGGCCTGCAGCAATGGCAGATCCTTAGCCCAGAAGTCTCATGGGCCCCATCTGGGTCTCTGCAGGTCAGCTCCTGAGGTTGGCTGGCTGGACCCCGGCTGGGCCCCACCTCCGCTTCTCAAAAGCTTGCTTGGTACGTCGCAGCCACTGTTTCAGATGCAGGGCAGCGGCTCTCTGGACAGCGGTGCTGGCCTTCGCAGGGGTCCCTGGGCACGCCCAGTGCCCAGCCCCGGCCTCCACGCTGATGAGGGATGGCCTGTGCCCTCTGAAGCCCGTGTGAGCGCCCTCCCCTCTGCAGGGCACCCCCCGGCAGAGATTGAAGCCAGCCCCTCGTCTTCCCTCTGCCCCAGGTCTGGTCCTCAGACTCCTGCTCCTGTGCATGGTGGCCACGGGCAAGTGCTCGGGCAAGTACCACGAGCTTCTCCTGCAGCTCCAGCGCCAGGCGGACCTCATGCAGAACCCCAGCACGCTCCTGGACCCCTATGTGAGTGCCCGGCCCCCCTGGGGGGCACCTGAGTCTCAGAGAACTGTGGGTGGAGCTGGAGCTGGAGTGATCCCCAGAGAGGACCAGCTCAGTCTGGGGCTGGCAGGGAAACCGAGGCTCCACGTTATTCCTGGGCCACAGTGACCATACCGGGTCTAACCCTGAGACGTCAAGGAAACAGTGGGTGGGCCTGGAGGGTGAACCCCGACTCCATCGTCTCCTTCATCACCCAAGGCCACCCTCTGCCCCCCCGGCGTGCTCACTGCACACCTACCACGGGCCTTGTTCTAGGCACTGGAACGTTGCAGTGAACAGTCCCACCCTCCTAAGCTCAGGTCACCTCCATCACTTCCACAATGACACACCTCAAGCCACCGGCACCACCTGAGTGGTCACCCCCACCAGTCCTGCCTGCAGTGACCCGGGAGTCCTCTCCCTTCTCGGGCCTCAGTTTCTTGATCTGTACAATGGGAGGGTTGGATGGGGGAGGGGTGCACGTGGTCCAGCAGCTCAAGGCTGAGCAGGTGTGCGTGCGTGTGTGGTCAGGGCTCCAGGGCTCACCTCTGGACTATCCTCTTCGCCCTCCCCAGATCCACCTCCAAGGCCTGCACAGTCCCATACTGAAGGGATCCTGCATGGAGCGCCTGGGGGACTTCCCCAGCGAGGACGTCCTGTGGAGGCTCAGCAGGCAGGACTTCCTGTGGACCCTCAACACCACGCTGGGCCTCTTCCTTCGCATTCTGAGTGCCTTGCAGCAGGACCTCCCGAAAGCAGCCCAGCAACAGGCGGAGATGAACATCCGCGGGCTCGGGAACAACATCCACTGCATGGCCCAGCTGCTGCGCGGCTCCTCAGACCCAGAGGCTGCTGAGCCCACTCAGCCGGGCCTGGGGCCCACACCGCCACCGCCGTCGCTGCCCATGCTGCCCTTGGACACCTTTAAGCGCAAGCTCAGGATCTGCGAGTTCCTGCAAGGCTACCACCGCTTCATGCGCAGGGCTGGGCAGGTTCTCCGGGGCTGGGGGGAGAGACAGGGCCGCAACCGCAGACACAGCCCCCTCCAGGGCCTGCAGAGGGCTGCCCGAAGGACGTGGCCCTTCCCGGGGCTCAGGAGACTCGCGCCCCAGGGCCAGCTGCCCCGGTAGCCTTCGGGGCACCCTCCCAGGTGAAAGGTCAGCAGGTGGCGTGCAGGACGGCAGGCTGCTGCCACCCATCTCCTCTCCGCTCCCCACCTCTCTGAAGCGCACTTTAAGGGGTGTAAGCCGGGCAGCCCCCTCTACCTCCCCCAAGGCCGGGCTGCAGGGAAGATGGTCAGGCTGTGGAGCACCCCCAGCCCTGGGTTCCTTGGCCCTTGGGGGGTGGCCGGGTCAGGTCCATACGGGGCTAACTTTCCATTGATTCAGGGGTCGGATGACACAGGCTGACTCACGGCCAGACTGGCCCCCCACCCCCCCGCTCCCCGGAGACCGGCCGGACTGTCCCTCTCATGACTTGCATGGCTCTTGCCCCGTACTTCCTCCTTTCCCTAGTGGCCCGGCTCCAAGGCGGTGGGGGTCAGGGCCTGAGTTGGCCGACTATGCCTCATTGTGTCTCGGGCCAGATCCCTGGATGCCTGGGAGGCCTCACTTTAGGCAGCTGTGATGGGGCAGAGGGCGCAGGAAGGAGCACTGATTGGGGTGGGGGGGTGTCGGTCCGAGGTTGGCCTCTAACTCGCTGTGTGACCTCATCAAGGCCACCTTGCTTCTCAGGACCGCAGTTTACTCTTTGTGATTTGAAGGGCTTGGGGACTACGTGCAGCCCTCTCTGCTTGTCAGTTGCTGGGACTCTGTGACACAGGGTGATATCAGATTCTCTCCATACATAAGGACACACGGTGCAGACGGCCCCTGGGTACAGGCTCCGCTCTCTGGAGGAGACCTAGTCTGGAGGAGAGCCTGGTCTTGGGTCCTGGCTGCCGGCTGCGCTCCCTGGTGGTGCATCATGGTATTTTTTCGTGCTGAAATCATCGCCCTCCTGGAGGGGAGGTCCCAGAAGCTTCCATTCCTTGGAGGGACAGGACTAATTTATAGACTTTTTTAAAAATCAGTTTTTTAAATCTGTTTTCTATTTATAAGGCTTATTTATGATGTGTATTTAATGTTAATATTTTGCATATATTTAAAATTTGCGTGGTTTCTAAAGCCCCTGTGTGTTTCTGCTGCATTGTAGGGGGGGTTGGGGAAGCCTCTTGGAAATGGGGGAGTCCCTAGGTGGCAAGGCCACAAGCGTCCACCACTGGAGGGCTGGTGTGGGGGTCCTTGCTCTATCCAGGAAGGAAAGCCGCACACCCTCGTCAGCTGCGGGCTCTGACTGTGGGGGCATCTCAGAGGAGGTGCCCATTTTCTCTGAGTAGGTCTCCCTTGAGAAGCTGGGGACCAGACGCTGGGGAACCAGAGAGAACAGGGGAAAGATGGAGAATGTGGGCTGTTCTCAGTCCTCCTGGGTGAACGGCTGGGGGTGTGTGTGCCCTGGGTGTCGTGTGAAACAGTGAAGTGAAGTGAAAGTCGCTCAGTCGTGTCCAACTCTTCGCGACCCCATATACTATACAGTCTATGGAATTCTCCAGGCCAGAATACTGGAGTAGGTAGCCTTTCCCTTCTCCAGGGGATCTTCCCAACCCAGGGTTTAAACCCAGGTCTCCCGCATTGCAGGCAGATTCGTTACCAGCTGAGCCACAAGGGAAGCCCAATACTGGAGTGGGGAGCCTGTCCCTTCTCCAGCGGATCTTCCTGACCCAGGAATCAACCTGGGGTCTCCTGCATTGCAGGCAGATTCTTTACCAGCTGAGCTATCAGGGAAGTCACTAAGTCATGTCCAGCTCTTGCGACCCCATAGACTGTAACTCGCCAGGCTCCTCTGTCCGTCGGATTTCCCAAGCGGGAATACTGGAGTGGGTAGCCATTTCCTTCTCCAGAGGATCTTCCTGATCCAGGGATAGAACCCAGGTATCCTGCACTGCAGGCAGATTCTTTATCACCTGAGCCTCCAGGGAAGCCCCTGGTGTGTTGTGTGAAACAGACAAGATAATAATAGATCTTGTCTCAGCTGTGGCCTATGACCTGGTAGCTGCTTGAAACTGCTTCCTGAAGGGCCCCAGGCTGAGTAGGGATTCCACCTGGCTGCCCCCTGATGCTCAGGGCCTTGCCCCCGGAAAGTCATCTATAGACCAGTGCCATGCGAAGTGGCAGCTACAAAGGCAGGGCTCACAGAATCAGACGAACTTGACCTAGATCAGTCCCTGGCCACCCCCATTTCTGGTGGGAACAAGATTTAACATGGGGTGGAAGAGAACTCCGTGTGGGACACCCTGGAGTAGATATGACCCACTTTGCTGATAAGAAGACTGAGGCTCAGAGAGTTTGAGTGACCTGCCCAGGTCCTTAGAGCCAACGTCCTGGGGGTGGGTACATTTTGAATTCAGGTCCATTGGATGTCAGGGTGGGAGCACCCTCCTATCACCTTTCAACCTCTGTAACTCTGCTGGCAAGTTCAGGAGTCCCCCCGGGGCACAGAGCTCCCAGAAGAGGGGGCAGACAGATGACAGACACGCAAAAGAACCGACAGGAGCACCTGAGTTTGCAGTGCGAGCTTGAGCAAGGCAAACGCAAAGCGGTGAGGAAACAGAGAATGAGGGTCTGGAGACGGGGGTGGTCAGCGGGGCACCTGGAAGAGGCGCTGTCCAGTCTGCAGCCCGAATGACGCACCGCAGGAGGGGTGGAGCCTCTAGGTGGTGGGGAGGGCTGGGGCAAAACACGCTCTGAGCAGTCAAGGATCAGGGTGCAGTGAGTGAGGGTACTGCTGATTTATCCAAAGGGCCCAGAGCAGGACAGCATCTTGCTCAAGGTCACAGAGCAGGTTGGTGCAGGGCTGGGGCCAGAACTCCAGGTCTCCTACTCCCGGCCAGGGCGCGCCCTCTGTACTCCAGGCTGCTTACAAAGTACTCAGTAAAGGCTCTCCGCTGCCTGCCCCCCAGCCCCGCCCACCGGCCCCACTGGGGCTCCGTCTTGCTCTTGAGCTTCCGGCCACACCAGCCACTTTGGGGTCCCGGCGGACCTCCCCCCACAAGGCCCCTGCCAGTGCTGTCTGCAGTGCTGCGCTCCTTTTGGTCAGCGCATCCTTGATGAGCTTCAACCACGTTGGTCCAGCAACGTGGTTACTTTTCTCAAACGTGTCCAATGCGGCAGGGGGGGCCTCAGTTCATGTGGCATTTGCACTGCCTGTCCACCTGCCCTGCTAGCCTGGAGCCTCCAAGGACAGAGACCACCTCTGTCTTCTCTGCCCGGTCCCAGCATGCAGCAGGAGCCCAGTGAGGAGTCGGGCAGGGGGCCCAGCCTAGACTGGTGCTCCCCAGGTGCCCTCGACGGCAGATGGTCGGCCTCTGTCTTTGCGGCCCTGCTGCAGCGCGGTGGTGCTGGTGGGGGTGGTTTTTCCTCCGCCCGGGCTGCTGGGAAGCTGTGGGTGGGAGGTGGGCAGACCCGGAGAGCCAGGCACCGCAGGCTCCCTGAGCGGAAGGGGATCCAACTCTGCAGCTGCCCGCGGAGAGGCCGAGGCGGTTCTGGGCGAGGAAGAGCGGGCAAGCCCAGGGTGGCAGCTCTCCGCCCCTGCCTGGACCCCTGCCGGCCCCCTCCCCTCTGTGGTTAGGCCCCTGGAGAGGCCTCTTGGGGCTGCCTTTGAAGCGGAGCTGCACCATCCGGCAGCAAGCAGATCAGGGAGCCCCCAGGCGCGGGGGTGGAGGCCTCGGGGGTCCGTCAGCGAGGACGTGTCACCTCCATGGCGCTGTCTCCCGGGGAGGCCACAAGCGGCAGGTGCTGCATCTCCAGCTCGGTCCCAGAGCCGCAGACCCGGCTGCCACAACCTCAGCCGGCGCCCCGTGGAGGCCTCAAGGCCACGCTCAGCCCCAAGCCCGCACCTATCCGCTCCCCACGTGCCCTCAGGGACGCTCAGCGCCCCAGCGCACCTCCCGCAGCCTGCAGCCTCTGTCTGAGGGTCATTTCTATCGTCTGCGCCTGGCGTCAGGAGAAGCCCTCTCAGCTCCCCTCCCCGTTTCCTGAGGCCCCAGCTGTGTGAGGCTGGGGTCGGGGGCGGAGGCTCTAGGAAAGCTTTTGCACCTCAGGGTGCGTGGACTCCCCGCGCCCCGCGGGCCCGCAAACAGCGTAAGCTCCCCGCGGAGGCGGCTTGTGTGACGGGGCGCCGTCCACAGGCCAGCTGGTCTAGGGGCAGGGAGAGAGATGAGGCCTCTGGCAGCCCTGCCGCTGGAATCGACCGGGAGCTGGGTCTTTGTTGCTGTCTCAAGCTTTTCAGGGTGACGGCCACAGCCGCTCAGTCAACCCTGCACAGCACACGGATGGAAAGTTCCCTGGGACGGGAGCCTGGAGGGCGGGGAAACGGCAGGGATGCGGGCCGGCACTTAGTCTGCCTCCAGAAGAGACTCCTGGCGGGCTCGGGCAGAGCTGAGCCTCAGGCCTCCACGCCTTCGCCGCCCGCCATCTTTGCGTCTCTCTCCAGGGACGGGAGAGGACTGCAGAGGACGCGGAGGTTCAGCGAAATGACTTCACGCCCCACCCCGGGGTCCGCGTCCTCCCCACTGAGCCTCGGTAGACTCGTTCCAGGCCGCCTCCCACGCCGGGTCGAGGTCTTCCCCAAGACCCGATGGAGCACGGGGCCTGTGGGGCTATCATGGAGCCACGTCTCCTCTCTCTTCTCTCCCTGATTTTCCCTTTTCCTCGCTGGTTTTCTTTCTTTGCAGCTCTCCTCTCTCTGTCCCTGTGGCCCCCCGCTCCCCGCCCGCCTCTCCCCACTGCCCACGCCAGGCCTGGGACCCGGAGTGCCCACAGAACGCCTTTTCCACGCGGAGGAAAGGGTCACAGTCCACGGTCAGAGTGGGGAGGCCCCGGCTCGACCAGCCGCTGGCTTCCTGGGGCGTCCCCGAGGGCTGGGCTCCGCGGCTTGGGGAGAGGTGAAGGTCTCCCTGGGGGTGGAGTGGGGTTGGGCAGGTGGGTGCCCTTGCCCGTGGAGGAAGGCGGGCCAGGCGGGCCGGGGGGCTCCGGGGCTCCGAGGTGGGTGCCACGGCAGGGAGAGGCAGCTCGAGGGGCACCGTGTCCGGGGGTGGGGGCTGGCTGCAGCCCTGTGACTCCTCCAGGGACGGGGACGAGGTGACACGGCCCGGTGCACACGGCCCATGGCAGGTCTGAGTCAAAACACCTAAAGCCGACCCTGGCCGGTCATGTGGAGGGCTGCCCAGTCATCGCCTTATGCCGGCCTGGATCACCCTGGCGGGCTGGGCGCGGCCCAGTCAGCCGTGAGTCAGGCCCCGGCGGCCTCGCCACGCAGCACAGGGCAGGGGCCGCCCAGCCACAGGGACGCCCCCTCCCCAGCCCTGGCCGCGCGCCTCTCCTCCGCCGGCCCGAAGAGCCTGGCCCACCTGTGTCAGGGGCAGTCTGGCCAGGAACCTGGGCCGCCCGGACCCCCTGGCCCCCAGCCCTTCAGCTGGTGGGGGGGGAGTGGGGGGTGGAAGTGGGGGGAGCCTCTGGGCCACCCGGCCCTGGGCGGGAAGTCAAGTCGGGGGCGGAGTGAGGAGACGTCTCCAGAGAAGGTTCGGCAGGCAAGGGGAGCAGCAGAGGGCCCGGCCCCACGTCGATGGTGCCCCACTGAGGACCCAGCCTGCACCCCGCCAGACAGCCAAGGGTCCGGCGCACCCCGAACCACGGTAGGCTTCCCCCAATTCATCCTCGGCACAGGTAGGCGTCATCCCTCCCCTTGTGTGTCGGGGGTAGCTGGTGGCCCACCTGGCTCTCCAGGCCTCAGTCTCCCCATCTGCATAATGGGCATGGTAAGACGTGCCCGCACAGCTCTCTCAGCCCAGGGAGGTAGAGTTTGGACCAGATGTGAAAGTGTCATTCATGCGGACACCTGGGGGGTTAAAGGCCACAGCAGGGTTAAAGGGCAGAGGAGAGAGCACTGGATGGGGAGGCCAGGAGCCCAGCTTTGTGTCATTCTGAAGGGGTCACCCCTCTGGAGTGGGGGGTGTGGATTCCTGGATTCCCAAAGGGCCCTCAAGTTCCCTTTTCCCCGGAACAGTGAAGGGGTCTGAGCTCATTATGGCCTAGCTTCCCTTGGGATGGAGACCAGACAGGCAGAGGGTCCCTGTCCCCCCAGAAGGGGCTGCGATGGGTCATGGGGTGGCCCCCACCTGCCTCTGCTTTAGGGAGGAGAGAGGGAATCTTTGCTAAAGTGAAGTCTCTGATGGGAGGCTGTGGGGTGTGTGGTCAGTCAAGGTCACGGCCCCTGTGCTTTTGACCTTGACCCGGAGAGGATGCAACATCTGTGCTTTGCTCACTCTGTAAGATGGACTGAACTGTGGTGTGGGGGCCCCAGATCCTGGGGCCATGGAGGGGGGAAGGAGGAGAGTAGCCTGCACAGAGCCTGGCACTAGGTGGGGGGTCCCCTTGGCATAAATAACCGGACAAGGGGCTGGACCCCAGTTTCGCCATCAGCGGTTCCCCAGGACTGGGAAGAGGCTTGCGGGGTGGCGGACACTTGGGGGGTGGGGTACACTGTCCCCGGGGCCCGTCCTGGGTGGGGACGAGGGGGGTGGTCCTGGGCTTGAGGTGGGTGGGAAGGGGCAGCAGTATCCCACCTCCCCTCCCCGCCACCCTCACCCCTAGAGCTCCAGCTGCAGGGAGGCACAGAAGCCCCCTCCCCAAGCTGCATGTGGTCTTTGGCGCCCCCTTGTGGCCTGTGCTCAGGGCACTGTGCACCCCTGACCCCAGGTGCTCAGCAGGGCACGCGCCCCTCCAGGAGCCCTCCGCCTGCCTGCTCCCGCGCCGGGGCTGACGGCCTCGGCCTACTCTCCATTCCCAGCCCCCCGCATCTCTGCCCACTTCCTCAATCCCCAAATCCCGCCCTGCCCAGCCTTCCGGGAGGTACTGACCCAGTCAGGCGGACCAGGACTGATGGTGCCTCAGCCACGGTGCCTGCGGCCCGCTGGTCAGTGGGGGGCGCTGCAGCCCGCAGCTTGGAGCTTGAGCTCAGTGGCTGAGTGCTGGAGACCTCGGGCTGTGAGCTGGGCCCAGCTTTGCAGGACTCCTGGGAGGCTTTCTCTACCCTCCACCACTCCACCTTGTAGTCCACGCTTCAGAGAGTCTTTCCAGCTCCTTCGAGACCGATGGCCTTCTTCATAGGCCAGTTTTAAAGATGGGGAAACCGAGACTCCTAAAACCTTCTTTCTGGAACCCTCACAGTTAATCAGCACTAAAACCCAGGCTTCTGGACTCCTTGTCGGGGACCTGAGGGAAGCAAGCGGCTCACCTGGTTGTTGGGGATGTGTCACTAATTTGCTGTGTGGCCTTGAAAAAGTCACTTCCCCTCTCTGGGTCCCACCTGTGACGTCTTAACAACTCGTGCATGCTAAGTTGTTTTAGCTGTGTTCAACTCTTCATGACCCCGTGGACTGTAGCCCACCAGACTCCTCTGTCCGTGGGATTCTCCAGGCAAGAATACTGGAGTGGGTTGCCAGGCCCTCCTGCAGGGGATCTTCCCAATCCTGGGATGGAACCCTTATGTCTCCTGAATTGGCAGGTGGGTTCTTTACAACTAGCACCACCTGGGAAACACCTTTAACAGCTCAGATAATAATAGTGTCAGTCACTCAGGCCTGTCTTCAATGCCTGCCCTGGTTTTTCAGAGGGCAGTTGCTAACCTTACAGGTTGACAATTGTCCCAATTTATGCTTGGAAAATCCCATGGACGGAGGAACCTGGTAGGCTACAGTCCCTGGGGTTGCAAAGAGTCAGACACGACTGAGCGACTTCACTTTGTCCTACTTTGTCCTTATGCTCTTGGAACTGGGGTCTGAGCAATGAGGTCACCTGTCTGAGGTAGTGAGTGGCCGAGCTAGGACTGCACTTTCAGCCTGGCTGATCGCAGAGACCACCAACCCCACACCCCTGCAGCCTCATCATTCCAGCCTTTTCCCATTACAAGTCAGGGCGCAGAGGCAGCGGAAGCCAGGATGGTTTTTAAGCTCCCCAGGCTAATGGCGCTTTAGGAGGTAGGTGGACTCTTGGAAGGGATCCTAAGGGTGGGGATCTACAGGCCACCGTCTCCTCTCTATGAGGGTCCCCTGCTCTCACCCTGCTGGCCAGAGTGGGCTCCGGGGAGACCACAGCAACCAAGGGAGGGGCTTGCAAGACTCTGGCTCTGTAGACAGTTCACTGTGATCCCGGGGCAGACTCGGTCCCACCCAGAAAGGGAGGAAGCGGAAACAGGGTCTGGGGCGGGGCGGGGGTGGAGGAGGCCCGGTTGGGCAGGAGATCAGAGCAGGATTGTGTCATGGAGTCCTGCAGCTGATAAGCAGCTGAGCGGCCAGTTCAGACAGAAGGAGGGGCTCCCTGGGTTGGGGTGGGGGGCTGAGATTCATCCTGGGGAACCCCTGGCTCCTTGCTGCCCGTGAGCCCTGGACCACACTTGGCCTCCTGCTCCAGTTTGAGGGAGGTTGTGGGGGTCTTGGGGTGGAGAGCTGGCTCCATCATGCCCTGGGTGACCTCAGGCAATTCGTTCGCCTCTCTGAGTCTCCGTTTCCATGTGTGTAAAACCAAGATTCAAAGGTCTCCCGTGGGAATAGGGGTCCAGGCTGGAGATAATTGGAGAGTCTGGTGGGCGCTCTGCTTGCTCGGGGGATCCAGTGGGACCGATGCTCATGGGGTCTGTGCTGGGCCAGCCACGTGCCCCAGAGAGCGGAGGAAGCAGAGCTGGAGTGGCCCAAGGGTTCGGGACGGGGCGGGGAATGGCACTGTCAGGTGGTTGCCGGAAGGATGCAGGAGGTCGCCTAGCCTCCCGTACCTGGTCCCATCGCCCCTCCCCTGACTTCTGGGAGTGCATCTTCTCTTCTGTCTCCAGGAGGAGGGCAGTCCAGCCCCAGCTGGGCCTCGTCCCCTCCGTCCTCCCCGCCTTCTGGGACTGGGCTTCTCTGCTCTTTGCATCTTATCACCGGCCCAAGCCTCACATCACCTCCCACCCACCATCCTCTGGACGCTTCCTCAGTCCCCACAGGCGCCCAGGGACGGTTC